CCTACATCGAGGCAAAGGGGGCTGCACGTGTGGTCCTGACCTCAGCCCCTCGCCCTGACCCTGCGCCTCGTTGATCCTGACCTTGATTTTCACTCCAGAAAAAAAGGTCAGGCACTGAGGTTGCGATGAGGCATGAGGCCAAAATGTGTGCAGACCCCAGTGTGCTCATCAGCCTCGCGAAGCAGCCGCGACGCGAGAGGCTCATGCTTGACCGAGCCTTTGTTGAAAAGCCAGAGCTTTGAACCTTGAACAGCGTGGAGGTGGTGGAGGTTTGCGTTCGCTGGATCAGACTAGGGGACTCCACTCTCATGGGTTGAGAGACCGAAAGTCGCAGGATACGAGGAGTCGTGAGTTTCCAATCATTGGAAACGCCGGGCATAAAAGCGACACGACAAATCATGGCTGCGCCACACAAACCGTTGGCGGCGTCGGTCGCCGCGCGGCACACATGAGACACGGAGACACACAGTGTGTCACACATACGAGCCGCCACTATAAACTCCGAGCCGCTCGTTCACAACCCCATTAGCGCTGCCAAATCGCTCGTTTCCCAACCAAAATGTAGTCATTTCACCCCATAAACCCACTCCGGAGGGCTGTAAAAGTGTAGCCACAAATAAGGCGGGCTCGATTTATTGACCAGGTGGCGTGCTAGGCGAGGGGTCACCCCTGGGGTCACCCTCTCCGCTCCCCCGGCGCAACATCAGCCTCCCGCCCCCGCCCGCCCCCGCCCGCCCCCGCCCGCCCCCCGGCCACGCCCCTGGAGGCGGCGTCCTTCTGTTGTGGTCGCGGCACTGCGGTGTCCCCCAAGCCCCCCCCCCACCACCACCACCACCCCTACAACGATATCAGAACACCGCCGCCGGTGTGGTCCGACTGGGCTGCTGGGAGTTTGCCGACACAGGAGCGGACAATCCTCCAAAATGAAGACAATTCCTCCACCGTAAGCCCCCCGTCCGCAGTGCGGCGGCGTCCCGTCGGCGTCCTGTCGTCGGCGTCCCGTCGTCGGCGTCCTGGACACCCCATTGACGCCCCGCCCCGCCCACCGAGACGACTGTCCTTTCAGTGGCGTGACCATTTACCGCCACATTAAAACGGCCGGTGCCGTTTTCGTATCGTCTCTATTCCGTGAAAACGTCGGCGTGGTGGCCTCACTCCCCAGGCCGTGCCACCATGCGTGCCACGCCCCGCGCCGCCGTGACCAACAGGCCAACAGGTGCCCTAACGCGGCATGCAAAGCCGGCCATGCGTGCATTGTTGGTACGTAACAAACAGTCTCACCTTTGCCAGCGGAGTGATTTCGTCGCTTTGTCTCTCTCGCACTCATGCGTCGTCCCTCAGGGGACTGCGATTAGAAACAGGGCGACTGAGCACTGCTCGGAATCGGCGTGTTTGTGTTGGCAAAGGTTCAAGGTTCAGTCCGAACTTTCAACGAGGCTCTATCAAGCGTGAGCACCGGTGGCTAAACCGAATCCGTCGGACATCGACACGGCGCGCTCGAGAGACTCTCAAAGCCCCAACCCGCTGACGGCGTGGGCGGTGGCGCCCCCTGCACTGTAACGAGGCGGTTGTCATCCAGGCACGACGGACCGGGGCGCGACGCCAGCGACGCGACGCCGGCGGCCCTGCGCGGCTCAGGCCCCGCAACAAAAACACAAAAACGCAGCCAGTCTAGCCGGGTGAAAAAATGCGCAGGCGCCCTTATGGATTCCGAACGGGGCCGCCGCCGTCGCCAGCGCCGATCGGCGTCTGTGCGACAAGGACGGCGACGACGACGTCGTGGCGGCCACTTTCGGCGCCGAAGCGGTTCGCCTTGATGAGCCCCGCTGGCCTCAAGGCTGATCCCGAAGCGCGCTCTGTCTCTCTCACTCACGGGGTGCCCTGCGGCGGTGCGAGGGAGACAGAGCGGCGAAGCACCGTTCGGCTTTAGAACTACACTACAAGCAGCGGGCGACGCACTGTTTTGCCCGGCTTTGCGGCACGGTGCCGCCTCGTGGGCAAGGGCCGCACCAGCGCGGCGAGTCGGAGCTAGGGCCGCAGGACCTGCTCAGCGATTCCGCCCATCTTCGCTGTCCCTCTCGCACTCCAAGGAAGCCTCTGCAGGTGCGAGAGGGACCGCGGGCCGCGAACCGCTGCGGAATCAGTCGTACTGAGAACGGCACGGTTCGGGCCTTCGGGACCTCTGCCCCGCGGCCGCGGCCCGCCTATCTCGCGACACGCGCGCCACGACGCGAGCCACGCTCTCGCAGCCGCTGATTCCGCAGGGCACTGCCGTCTCTCTCGCACTCACGGCGCATCCCGCCTCGGCGCGAGAGAGGCAGGGCGACGGACAGTGTGCCGGTGTCAGCGTGAACCTATACCCCCTTACCCAGGGTACTATTTCACTAGGAGGAAAGTACCTTGCCTAAGGGGAGGGTAATAATTCCCTAGGGATATCATACTCATGCAGGGTGGGGGGTAATATTTTCCTAGGGTAACTTTACCCCCTCTAGGGGGGGTAATAATCCACTAGGGGAAAAATACCCTCTCTCTGGAGGGGGTAAAAATTCCCTAGGAAAAAAATACCCATCACAGGGGGGCTATCATACACTAGTAATTTCTTACCCTCTCTCCGGAGAGAGGTACATGCCCACTAGGGTTAAGTTACCCAGGGGATCATAATTTACTAGTGAATTCGTACTTCCCCACCAGAAAAACGAGTGTGAAGATGAAAAAAAAATCCACAAGCAATTCGAGAAAGCAAGTCATATACAAAAAGAGTCAAAATAAATTCTTAACACAGAAAACAACTTGATTCACGAATTTTAATGTTTTCAGCACCATAGGTCATTTTTTTCTTAATTTTAAACTTTGCGAAATAAACGATGAGTTAGTCAGGTAGGTAGACGAATGCCCAAAACTCAGGAATGGGCGCCCGCTTTGGCTTATCCTTGGATTATGTAAAAATCCAATTTACTTTTTTTAAATTTGATTTTTCTGAAATTGCGTGTGGAACGTGTCTTTCAACACCTTAATGCTCGTTTTCTGGTGAGGGAGTACAAATGCCCTAGTAAATTATTAACCCAATTTTACCCTAGTGGCCATGTACCCTCTCAGGAGAGAGGGTAAGAAATTACTAGTGTATGATTACCCCCCTGTGATACCCCCCTGTGTTTTTTTTCATCTCACACTCGTTTTTCTGGTGGGGAAGTACGAATTCACTAGTAAATTATGATCCCCTGGGTAACTTAACCCTAGTGGGCATGTACCTCTCTCCGGAGAGAGGGTAAGAAATTACTAGTGTATGATAGCCCCCCTGTGATGGGTATTTTTTTCCTAGGGAATTTTTACCCCCTCCAGAGAGAGGGTATTTTTCCCCTAGTGGATTATTACCCCCCCTAGAGGGGGTAAAGTTACCCTAGGAAAATATTACCCCCCACCCTGCATGAGTATGATATCCCTAGGGAATTATTACCCTCCCCTTAGGCAAGGTACTTTCCTCCTAGTGAAATAGTACCCTAGGTAAGGGGGTAAAGATACACGCTTACACCGGCATCAGCGTCTGGCGGCGGCCAAAGTCCGGCGCAACAAGCGGCCCTCTCCTCTAGCGCGGCCGGGCCTGGGCCGGGCCGTTGTCATGACGACTAGACTCTCACGCCACGAACCGCCGCCAACGGTTCAAGTTCAAAACGCGCCGAAAATGCGGTCCCTTCGGTCCGGAGCCGCGGCGACGCAGCACCCCTGAGGAGGGCTCGGGCAGGTCCAGCGAGTCCAGCGCAGGGCAACCGCCCCAGCCGCGGCCATGAGCCAACAGGAGCCGTGGGGACACGCGGGCGGCCAGGGCGGCGTGGTGGCGAGTAAGAGCACGATCACGGACGCAGCGGACTGATGAGAGTGGTTCTCGCCCTGTCTCTCTCGCACTCATGGGGCGAGTCGTTTAGGTGCGAGAGAGACAGAGCGACGAAAACGACTCTGAGGATCAGTGTGCAGGGCGGCGGCGGGGGCGTAACGCGGCCGAGGACGAAGACAAGGACGCTTTGCGACCGCCACGCCATGTCCATGTTGTCGGCAGGCGGCTGGCCGGCCTTCAGGGACGTCGTCGGCGACGGCATGGCCCTGCTGCCGGACCAGGCCTCGCCGGCCAGCCACGGGGACGTCACCCTGGACGGCCAGCCGGACCCGGCCGCCTCCAAGTCGCACGCCGCGCTGGCGCCGCTGGCGGAGTCGCGGCCGTCCCAGGGAGAACTCGGGGCGCTCGATGACCTGCAGCTGCAGCAAGGCCTGGAGGTGTTCGGAAGTCCCTCCTTCAGGTTGGGGAGCTTGAAGTGAGCGCCGGATGTAAACTTGAACCTTCACTCCGCCTAATCTTGCCCTACGTAGATCCTTGGGCATGCAGTACGGGCTGGGTCCACATGACTGGATCTTCAACTGCCCCCCTCCCCCGCCCCCGCCTCCTCCCCCACCCCCGCTGCCCGCGGACGACATAGACTTGCTGCGCCAATTTTGCAACCCCAACCCGTGCCTCCTGGCGTCCCAGCACGCCCAGCACCAGGTGCAGCACTTATCACAATCTGTGTTGCGTGTTTTTGTTTCGCGGTGAAGATTGTGCGCCGATGTCACCCTGGTGTCACCCTGGTGTCACCTCTGATCCCCGCGACGATAATTGGGCGAGCCACTTGTACTTCGCCTTCCCCGCGTCACAGGCTTGACTGAGCAAAAACAAGTCATCTATTTTAGTTCCTGCCGACGCCGACGCCACCGGCGCCCTCCGCCGATCAGCAGCCGCAGCTGCAAGACGACCTGGGTGACCTGGACTGGCTGTCCGTCGGGCTGCGGCAGAGCCGGCAGAGCTCGCACATGCTGCTGCAGACGCCGCCGCCACCCCTCCCGGCCCACCACCCCCAGCACGTAAGCGTGACTTCTCGCACGAAAGGCACTCAAGCGACAAGCACTCGGACGAGGAATCACCGGGTCACTTCACTTCCTCGTCTCCTACGCGTCCGTCGTGGTACTGGAGCTCCATGACGCCCTTCCAGGTCCGCGACGGCGGGTCTCCGCTCTGGCCGTCCAAAGAGGTGTGCTCGCTCATCGCGGACGCGCTGTCGCTGCCGCCCACCGCGGAGATCCGCCTGCACCCCGTCGCCGCTGACGTCCCGGAGGACGACGCGCAGGACGTGGACGCCGAGGACGACGGCGTGCTGCTGCGCTGCGCGTCCTGCGGCACGGCCTTCGAGTGCGGCCTGCGCACCTGCGGCTGCAACGGCGCTACCAGCAGAACGATCGTCAGCAAAGTACGGCCGCCGAACAGTCATTGTGTGAATGAGCGAGCAAGAAAGTGGATGACCGAGGCGGGTACTCGAACGCAGGGCAGTTCGACGTCGGGGACCCTCCTGCAGAAGCTGCGCACCGCCGCGTCCAGGCAGAGCCGCGGGAAGGGCGGTCGGGGCTCTGTGCAGGTGTGACGTGGCTGTCAGCCATAAGAAAGATCAAAGTGCCAGAATTGCCTCCGCGGGAACTCGGGAACATGGACGAACAGGTCATCTGGGAGAAGCAGCAGTCGGCCTGCGACTCGCCGGGCTCCACCGGCTCCGACGTGGACCTGGCCGGCCCCCTGCCTGAGCCCCCGCAGCCCCAGCTCGCGGTGCAGGCCATGCTGCCCGAGCCGCCAAGGAAGCGACGGCTTGCTGAGCCCACGCTGCCGACACGCAAGCGGGCACGCCCGGACGTCGCGCAACCGTCTGCCGTAAGGAACACACGGACCCGGACTAGACGACGGGGGCGGTGGTGGCCGCGGCCGCGCGGTGACGCTCGCTGTCCTGCAGGTCACCGGCGTCCAGGCGTCCAAGACGAGCGGGCCGCCGCGGCGCCGGGGCCGTCCTCCGGGCAGAGGGGCGCGCAGCTCGACCGCGGCAAGTCGAAGGCGCAGCACCAGCCGTGGGCGTGGCGGCGGCCGGCGCGGCGGCAGGGCCAGGTCCGCGACGAGGAGGCGGGCGTCCTCGGCGAACCGTGTCACCAAGCGGGGGCGGCGCGCCGGCGAGAGGTAACCCCTTGCCGCTACACATAGTGGGCCAATCCCGGACGCGTTTTGAGCTCCAGAATCGCTAAACGGGTCTCGAACCGCACGTTTGACCCCACCGACGGAGTGCTTCGGAATGAGGAATCTACTGGTGGGGTCACACGTTCGGTTCGAGTCCTGTTTAGCGACTTTGGAGCTCAAAACGCGTGAGTTTTGGCCTCTGGCCCACTGTGCGCTGCTGGGCCTGGTTCACTGCATGCCGCGCAGGTGCACCGAGTGCGGGCGCGCGCTGCCCAAGCTGGGCTGGCTGTCCATGGTGGGCCGCGCCATCAAGAGGGCCATCGTCGGCGGCGAGCGCCCCTACTGCAGCACGTGCTGGCGCAAGCTGCCGCAGCGACGGCGACGCGGCGACCAGCAGCAGCCGCAGGGCCAGCAGCCGCAGGGCCAGCAGCCGCAGCCCGAACAGCAGCAACAACAGCAACCTCAACAGCCGCAGTCTCCGAACGATTCCTTCGACGGGTGAAGGGGCCAGCATTTTCGCGCGTGTCTTGTGCTTCATTCGATTAAAAGTTCAATTTCCACCGGCGTCGAGTCTTTCCAGAAAGCGCCGCATGGCAACCAGGACAGCAACCTGTGATTCCGAACTGTGATTTCGTCGCTCTGTCTCTCTCGCATCCAACGGGCCGCCTGATGAGTGCGAGAGAGACAGAGCGACGAAAGCGTGCTAGCGGCACCTCTCGGGGCACTCAAAGACTCAAAGGTCCCCGCCGATGCCGTTTCCGGGAAGATAGGCCCTCGGCGCGCGGCGCGCAGCGCGCCAGGCAGCTAGGCAGCCTCAGGGGGCTGTTTGACACGAGTCGCGTTGCGAATGAAAACAAACTGACCTGCCCTCTAGTGGAGGCGATTCGACGCGTCCGTTTCGCATCGGCGTGCATCGGCCATTGTGTCCTTTGTGGCCAATCGGCATGCGTGGCACTGTGACGGCGGGGGCGGCGCGGGGGCGGCGCGGGGGCGGCCAATGGAAGCCGTCAGCCTGTCCCCTGTGGTGCAATCCGAGGAGTGTGTGTCCAGGCCGTCCAGGCCGTCTCGTGGGCCATTCAAAGAACTTGACTTGTTTTCGCCCATTGTTTTCCCGCTGCCGGCACAATAGCTTTCCGGTAGCCCACTGATGCAGGCCGGCCCCGGCATTGTTTGTTTGCAACAAAGTCCAGTTCTAATTGATGCGCGACGCTTCCTTAGTCATGGACCGCCCCGCCCCGCCCCGCCGCGCCCCGGCGACACTTATGACACATGATGCGCCGATTACCGGGAACTGGCTTCGTGGACCATCATGGCCCCCATTCACTGGCTTTCATTTCCTCGGCTCTGATTATTCCGTGCAGCAATCAACGCCAATTAAGCGCCGGTTTAACTTTATTGGCTTTTAGAGACGAACTGAGCCAATTCAAATTCAGTCTAGACTAGAATTCACACGGTGCCACGAACTCCGCGCGCGACACAAGCGCGTCACAGCGCCACGGGGTCACTGCAATCTGCAGTCATTATTCTGTTTACTCTTCCGTTTTTATTCGACCGATCCTTATCAGGATGAAGAAGACCTTGCTCGCCGTGCGTATGAGTTCCATTTAGAACGGGGCTTTGACGACGGCACAGGTGCCTATGTCTCACTTGCCCCCCCCCCCTTTTTCCTCCCGCGCACTGCCAGTGAGAGAAAATGCGCGTCTTTTGATCGGCTCGATCAGTATGGGTGCTGCCGAGTGCCCCCCCCCCTCCCTCCCTCCCTCCCCGGGACGAGAAGAAATAAAGTCGCCTTATTGATGCTGAGGACAGAGTGGCGCGGAGTCACGGACTGGACGGCCGGTTTACCGAGAATCGCTTTCTTCTTCTTCTCCTCCGTCCGTTGTCTCGGCTGGGCTGCGCTGGGCTCCCTTTGGCCTTTTCCACGCCAATTATGCATGCGCCCCTCCCGGCCCGTCGCGGAGCGTCGGGGGAGGGGGGGGGAGGGGGGATGCCGTCGAACGGGGCTGAAACAAAGCTGCAGCCGGCCGCGACCCCTGCGGGGCCCGTCGACAAACCACCAGCACACTGATTCCGAGAGTCGTTTTCGTCGCTCTGTCTCCCTCGCACTCATGGCGCGTTGCGTGTGGGTGCGAGAGGGACAGAAACGACTGGGCAGGTGGACCGCGAGAGGGCGACGACGACGCGGGCGGAGGCTGGGCGATAACACAGCATCACACGCGGCCGTATCGCCAACTGGGCGAGGGGCCCGCCAAAAAGTGGGCGGGGGCATGCGTGTGATTCACGTGTGTTGAGTGGACTTTGTCCCCCCCCCCCTCTCCGTTTCCCTACCTCTCTTTTCAATGGTGATAAGAACCATTGCTCAAGGCGAGCGCCCAGAAGACTGATTCAGAGATTCGTTTTCGTCGCTATCCGTCTCTCTCGCACTCATGGGGCGTTCCGTATGGGTGCGAGAGAGACAGATCGACCAAGCGCCGTTCGGAGTGAGCCTGCACAGGTCGTGTCTTTGCATGGCTCCACCGCCGCTGGCCGGTGTGGCTGCCGCTGATAGCGCACCACGCGGTCTGACAGTGTACTATCAACATCGAATAAAACAAAGAATTGTAAAACTGGCATGTAAACGGCGCGCATGCAGATAGTGAAGGGATAGTGTGACCGATTCTGGGCGAAAACGATGGGAGTGGTACGACATCCAAGTATGTACAGTCCTCGCGTTGTATCACTGCACCGCAAGCGGAGCTCCAAGGTCCCGAGGTCAGTCGCCACGCCACGACCCTCGTGCTCACACACACACTCACACACTCGCACACATGCACACGGGCACTAAAGAAGGCGCTTGTCGTCTCAAAACTAGACACTCGAAAAAAAAACCACGAAAAACACTGAAAGAATCGACGGCTGTAAAGTTCACCCAGAAACCGGAGTTTTTCCTGTTAGGTGCGTTGTCCGCGCGGTGGCCGAAGGGCGAAAAAAAATGAGGTTGAGTCCGGGCCCTGGCCCTTCGCACCCCGTTCGGACCTTCGATCCTCCGGCAAGAACCGATGTTTTTCTAGCAACTTTTTCACTTGGCCGCCGTGCCGTCCGTCTAGCCTTGCGAACAGTAGCGCGGCAATGAGTGCTCCGAGCCCCCCTGCGGCGATCCAGGCTCCAGGCCCACTGTCCAGCCCCCCCCCCTCTCCCTCAGCTGCTTGTTTCTCGGACAAGTGTTGTAAATATTGTACCGAGACGGGCCGCCACGCCACGCCACGCCGGCAGGTATTGTTTGGCGATGATGCGATGTGTCATTAGCCACCGAACGGGAACACGTTATTGCACGGAGCCGCGCTACACTTCTCCTCTCGAATCCAAGTGATGAGGAACTGGTGTTCGTGTTGTAATCAATTTATTGGCTGCTGTGTGCGTGCGCGCCGTGCGCGGCGATGTGTGAGGGGGGAGAGTGGCGCGATAGCTAATTCTCCCTCGAATGTGGTGGCGTGAGCGCGTGTCGTCGCTCTGTCCGCGCGCCGAAAGGTGCCAAAACCAGCCAACGAGTTTACTGCAACACACAGTGCAAAAGGTGTTACTGTGTGAGCAACATTTGCAACTTCCAGTGCCCACACTACGTAAACAAAAGTGTGTGTGTGTGGGGGGGGGGTCGAGCGCGAGCGCGCGTGTGTGTGTATGTGTACGGCGCGCGTTGCAGGGGGTAGTTCGCGAGGGAAGGGTAAGGAAGGGAGGGGAAGAGGGGTGAGGGGGAAGGAAAGGGGGGGAGGGGGCGGGCGCCATGTGGCTAGCGTACCGCGACGGAGGTGAGTAGTATCGCTGTGGGTTCACTGTCGGAAAACAAATGATATGGCTGCGAGAAACGCAACACTTCCATCATTCACGATTCAACTGGCAACTTATTACTGCGGCGAGACGTGTCCCGAGGGGAGGGGGAGGGGAGGGGGCGGGCGGGGGTGACAGTGACACGCCGGGGGATTTGGGGTGGGGGGACACCTCGCGTCGTCGACCAGGAAGCATAGGTCTAGGGCAGCGGTTCTCAACCTTTCTCGGCTCGCGACCCCAAATTTGTAGCCAAAAATTTCCGCGACCCCCAGGAAAAGTTTCGCGACCCCACGGGACCCCTCCTTTAGCATGCCACTGCGTCTGATCCGAGGCGGGCATTTTGCTCCCTCAACGGGCAATTGGTCTTTGGACCTTCCTTTAGCATGCCTCTGTTACGGAGTGCGATTATCAGTCTTAGTTTGGGAGCAGTATTGTCTCAAAGTTGGCCAAAACGCTCAGAAATGTCTTAAAAAATCATGTTTTGGGTCGATTTTAAGCAGCCACTGCGTCTGATCCGAGGCGGGCATTTTGCTCCCTCAACGGGCAATTGGTCTTTGGACCTTCCTTTAGCATGCCTTTGTTACGGAGTGCGATTATCAGTCTTAGTTTGGGAGCAGTATTGTCTCAAAGTTGGCCAAAACGCTCAGAAATGTCTTAAAAAATCATGTTTTGGGTCGATTTTAAGCAGCCACTGCGTCTGATCCGAGGCGGGCATTTTGCTCCCTCAACGGGCAATTGTCTTTGGACCTTCCTTTAGCATGCCTTGTTACGGATGCGATTATCAGTCTTAGTTTGGGAGCAGTATTGTCTCAAAGTTGGCCAAAACGTGCAGAAGATTCTTTCAAAGAACATTTCTGGCGTTTTGCGTGCGCACAGCGGGTTTGAGGGCAAGTCTTGCTCCTCAGCCTACGGATGGATATCACACTGGAGCCGTAACAAAGGCAAAGCTAAGAAGGTCCAAAGACATTTGCGCCGTTTGCAGTGAGTGACGAACATTCCTGCCCTAGCGGGTCAGACGCAGTGGCTGCTTAAAATCGGCCCAAAAACACGATTTTTCAAAGACATTTCTGACCGTTTTCGGCTAACTTTGAGACAATACTGCTCCCAAACTAAGACTGATAATCACACTCCGTAACAAAGGCATGCTAAAGGAAGGTTCAAAGACCAATTGCCCGTTGAGGGAGCAAAATGCCCGCCTCGGATCAGACGCAGTGGCTGCTTAAAATCGGCCCAAAACACGACCCCAGCTACCTCGCCGCGACCCCTTAAAATTTTTTCGCGACCCCACTTGGGGTCGCGACCCTAAGGTTGAGAACCACTGGTCTAGGGGCAACCGAAAAATGTAACCGAACCCCCGCCCCCTACTTCCCCCTCCTTTTCCTCGACCCGGTCCGGTCCGGTGAAAGCTGGCCACCACACCACAAAGGAGCTCGACTTGGGGCTTTAGCCTCTTGCAGTGCAGCCACTTGGTGGCACTTCCCTCGCCGCCTGGCCGGTCGCTTCCGGCTATCGGCGCGGCGGCGAACGAACACTTTACGTTACGAAAAGACTTCCAATCGCCGCGGCGACGGCCGGGGACGGCGGGGACACTGGTGCCTGGGAGCTTTTCCAGTGCCGCACGGCAGTTTGGCCGTTTCCCGCAAGGGCCGTGGGATGTGGCAGGCCGAGGGTCTCATGTCAATGCGACGCGCGGGCGGCGAGTCAGCTTGCTGGCGTCACTGTATGCAACCAGTTCATGGTTTTTGAGCGCGCGTTTCCGTCGTCGCCCTCCTCCTTCCTCTCTCCTGGCCTGGCCGGTTTGACGCAATCCCACTCATAATAATGCAAGGACCTAACGGACGCCATGCGCGCCATGCGCCACAGACAGCCGTCGCGCATGCCAGGCCGAACCCATCTAATGCCTAACCAGCAGCAGCCTTCCGAAGAGTCGTTTCGTCGCACCGTCTCCGTCTCTGTCGCACTCATGGGGCGTCTCTAGTCCTGTAAAGGTGTGAGAGAGGTGCTAATAAACCAAATAAACGCGCGCGAGCCGCGACCGCCGCGACTGACCCATCGTGCGGATATTGGACGGCAAACTGGTGGCAGGGCAAAAGTGCCATTGTTTGGGTTCCCCCCGTGGCGATCGGGCAACGCGACCAAAATCCCTGAAGAATGTAACATTCCCAGCGCTGTTTCGGCAGGCGACATGAGCGCCAACGATGCCCACGACGGCGGCCTCCAGGACGGCGAGCCTCCGGGAGTCCTGAGCCTCCTGGCCATCGCGGCGTCCATGCTGCTGTGCTGGATATTCTACCGAGTGCGTAGTGCTTCGCGGCCTTCCCTCACCCGAAGAATCGTTTCATCGCTCGATCTCTGTCGCACTCATGGGGCGTCCCGGTGGGGATGTGAGAGAGACAGGGACGATGCGGTCCTTCGGAATCCATCGGCCGGCCGCGCGAAAATGGAACGATGTTGTCGGGCAGGTGCGGATGCGCCAGTGCGAGATGGTGCTGGCGGAGATGGCCAAGGCCCTGGAGGAGGTGCGGCGGTCCGCCGAGGCGTTGCAGACGCGTCGAAGTATAGTGCGGGCAACGGTGCGGCTTGCGCCTTGGACACACCAATACTGGACATTTTATCCTCAAGCCTTCACTGACGGACAAGTTTTTCTTTTTTGTTTCCGCAGACCGCCTTCGCAGAGAAGGCTCTCACGGAATACAAGACTCTCCTCAACATGTTGGACGAGATGCAAGCGGTGAGGTCAAAGTCACCTCTGTGCGAGCGTGCTCGCCAAAGCATTAAAATCCCATAGTATTTTCACGCCTTTTTCTTTTTTCATTTTTTAGGGCGACTGCCGCAAGGCGAACTTACCGAACCTGAGGCATGAAATTGAAATGGAGACGATGCGTGCCCAAGTCAACATGGTGCAAGGCTGTCTCCTTGCCATGTCGCAAGAGGCGCTAAATTTACAAGCTCTGTCGGCCGGCGAAGAGAAACAGGTGACCTCGCTGTCTGGTTGCAGTGTGCTGGTTCAGTGTGAAAGTAAAAGAAGTGACCTGTGCCCGTCCATTGCAGGAAGACATTGTGTCATCTTTGCACCACCAGAGAAAATCATACACGCACATGTCAGAGGAGCTTCTTTCTCTGTTGGAGAGAAAGAGCTCAGAAAATGTGAGTAGTTACTGCTAAATTGGGTTGGTTTGTAGATTTGATGTGACATTTACTTCTTTGTTTCGCACAACTATCCAGATAAAATTATTTTCATCGGGGGGACCAGAAAAATCCAGAACTCAAAAAATGATCTGGCATAACTCGTTCACAAGTCATTAGTTGTAACAGTGTGTGTTGTTGTTTGCCACTATTAAATAATGAAGAAAAAAAGAGACATTCCTTGAAAATATTTATTAGGAAATCAACAGGAAAAACACAGAAGTTTACTAAACATTGCTGCAGCAGTTAAATAAACATTTTGTCTGAAAATCAAACATAGTTCTAACGCTGACAGATTGACAATCATGACAATAAAACAATCAGAGAAGCACAATAAATGAAACTTTGAAATGCAAGGTAAATGCAAAATAGTAATGACTACTAAAGTCAATCTCTTCAACAAAACCCACTTGACTTGACACAGCCACACTTAGTTTATCAGTATCAATAACTTCCTAGTGCAAGAAATGCCAGGACTAAAACAAAAGTCCACTGGGATCTCAGAGGAATGGTAGACAGACAGGCATTAATAAAAATCAGTCAAAAACAGAAAGAGTTTAAATCAGAATACTCAATTAATATTTTTTGAAGGAGCTCTCTTGAGTATGATACCGAAAGCTTGTGACACATGAAATACTGGCACACACACTTGCACACTCATTCAAAAAAAAAAAGGTGTATTCAGTACTTGTCCCTGTCAACATTCTGAAATATTACATTCATCAAAAAATAATGGTTTATGGGAATTTCTTTTTTTTAGCAAAACATAGGATTAGGAGAACAGTTTGAGGAATACATGAGTACACAGTTAAAGCACAGATAAGCACCATATGTATATGGCACAAACACAAGATTCTTAAAGGCTCAAATAACAGACTCTTAGAATGGCGTAGTATTTTATACAAACAAAATATATACAGAAGTGCTAAGCTTACAGGCCTAGATAGTAGGTATCTTTCCGATTATGACTTGTAAAAGCAGAAGAAACAAAGCTGAAGCTAGTTATGTAACAGTCACAGCTGGTAATCACTAGTCACACCACAGCAAAGCATACAATGAGCAAATGTAATGATATTATGCAACAACAATTATCAGTTTTAGCTGCATCAAGGCATGGGACTTCAAGAATTTATCACATTTATTTGTAAGAACACATCAATTTGATTTTTATAAATAGAGCATGAGGAAACACGACAACAAACATGAATATTTTCCTCCGATAATTTATAATTTATCAGGCTTTTACACAGCTCTTGCATCACAAAGAATGCTTGGTTGAGTACATTTCAAGGGGTTCAGTTTACAAAGTAGGTAATAAGTTAGTTAAAATAATAAAATGATTCATTGTAAAACTACAACTAAATGAATTTCAGTTCCTGCAAATAGCAGCTCCAAGCAACATTTAAAGCTGGATATTCTTCAAGTCTACATAACACTTCTGCTAATACAAGAAACTTGCTTCAGACATGCTTGGTCAACAACTTTAGGGTCTCTCCCATCTACTTTATCACAAAGAGTGACACCACAAAGTAGCCTTTTCTGTGCAGGGGTAACAAAATAAGGAAAATATTCATCCCAATCAAAGGGATGGTGTGGTTCCCAAAGTTGAGGAACATCACTGAAAAATTTTTATCGACAAAAAAACACAGGCTGCACAGATTTAAGAAATTAAAACTTACAAGCATTGGTTTAAATTATTTAAATTTAAAATAATATTTCACCTCTCGCACATAATACCATGGTCCAACCATAAATACATTACATATTTTTGCAACAGTCCAAAATTATCAGTCTAGTACCATTTGTACAGCACTTTGAAACTTTATAGAAATTATAAAGAACTTTTATAGTCATGGGAAAATTTAGTAATTAAAAGTGGTCATAGAAAGCACTAATAAAAAACACGGCACAAGCATATATGCTCATTCTATCTTGTGGTTGTGTGTGGTGCCATTTGATTCTCCATTGGATTTTCCATTCAATTTTCCATTGGATTTTCCATATGATGAACTCTTGTTTATCTTCGTCAGGCCTATTAGGAGGTAGAAAAGGTACCCAACTAACAGTTGGAAAAACAAGAATTAGAAAACGTACACATTGTACAACACGTAAAGAAAAATTACTAAAAAATATTGATCAAATATACTTACTCAAAGCCACTAGAAGTATTCCAAATAAACAGTAGTACAGTGATCCAGAGAACAACAGTGATATCAGAACATAAAACACTGAAGGAATTGTAACCAACGCCCAACCAGTAGTATTTAATAGTGAATACCAGCGTCTTGGTAATGTAAAAGGCTTGAGGGGAGGCTCTCCACTAGTTTCAAAGAAACTTCCAGTCTGTTTGAAGCTGTCCACCATTTTGTCCTAGAATATTGGAAAAGAACAGGGACTCGGATAATTCTCAATTGAAAAGAAGATCTTTTGAAATCTTTAAGTATATTTTGCTTTGCCCATACCTTCTTTACATAGAGATCATGCAACCACTTTGCAGCTGCTTCATCATTATCAGGTACCTCTTCAACTGGAATACGCTGCATGTACATGTGAGCTTCCACATGTTTTCCATTCAAAAGACTTGTGATCGTTGGAGCCACAGGATCAGATTCTCTACAAAACAAAATTGGTGCATGAAATGATAAATTTGGATAAAAATAGAGGTAAAGAACAGTGTCATCATGATGACATGACGGGGATGAAACTTACTTCATACATATTGTCACGTCGTAAAGTGCAACAGGTTTGTTTCGCATAAATGATACAGAAGTTGTAAAGCCTTTAACTCGAGGTGTAAGATGATGCTTCAAAATGGGGAGACCGTTATCTTCAGCAAATTTCAAACTGGTCACATGTTTCTCTTTGGTAAACCGTGTTCCCTCAGCAAACAAGAGCAGCTAAAAAAATTTCAAACTTTAAATAAAACAAATTTTTTTACCCAGGATAAAATTAATTTAAAATTACTTACGAAAATTGGGTCAGGATGATCGAGCAGCTCTGTGATTTGCTTGCCAATAATATTTCTGTCTTTATCCCAGTTCCTCTGAAGAAATACCGCCTCGGCAAATTTCCAAGACCAGCCTACAGTTGGGACAAACTGAATTGCCTTCTTGGCGATGGCTTTGCAGTTCTGAAAAATAAAGGTAAATTTCACATGATATAATAAAATAAAGCACAGTTATTTTTACAAGAACTGAGCCAACAATAAACTTACACCCAACACTTGTACTCTCTCACATAAGACAAAACCCATGAGCCAATCAATTTCGTAAGAATGGTTCATGATGAGATAGCCATGCTCCTTGCCATAGTACTTCTTCAGACTTTCTTGGTCGATGTATAAGATAATTTCAGAACCAGACCACCATTCGGCAAGAAAAACAAACTCTGCAGAAAACATAAAATAAATATCTTAGCATGCAAGTTTGGAAAGGGAGAAAAGACATTAAAAAATCTTATTACATCAGATAATAATTAATACTTACGACAATTCAAAGAATAGCAAAGATATTGGTTCACTTTCCTGTACCAATAGCGAGAAAATGGACGCACTCCTACCCAGAGGATAGCCTGTCCAAAATTGATAGCCAATCCAGACAAAAAGAAATTTATGGCCAGCAGAAGATGAGCCAGTGTTGACCTCTTAAACGAGTCAAGTAGAGCCATTTTCATTTTGTACTTCCTGAAGCAAAACAAAAACAAAATACATTGTTAAAGAGGCACAAAAAATTTAAAAACAATGAAAAACTAAAAAAAAGGTGAGCAGCTGAACATAAGATAAAAGGGTCTGGTCGCATCTTTCAGCACACATGGAACTCAAGGTTAGGGGAGACTGACACTAAAGCAACAAGTGAAAATTATTCTAGACAAGGTAAAGAAAAAGCCCCTTCCCCCCTCCCCCTCTCCTCTCATCACCTTTTGACAATCCTTTCAACTGCTCAACTAAGCTTTGGTATATGTAAATTTTGAACCATGCGAATTAACACCAATGAGATGATCATAACTACCCTTATTTGCCGATTGAAAAAAAATCAGCTTAACAAAATTCAAATTGTAACAATAACGACACATGAACATTTTTTACTTGAGTTATCAAAAATTTTAAAAAATATACAAGTGATGTGTATTAGTTTGTCATATTTAGGTACAGAAACATTTGTCATATCGTCATTCTATTGTTTTATGTCGTTTGTCTTTTGTCTACTACTGCGTTTGTCGTTTCTGAAATTTCCTGTTCACTCCTGTACTGCCAAGCCAATGGAATACACGTGAAAATTGAATCTACCAGTTTTATCTATTTCCATCCTGAAAATCTACAAGAGAATTACGAAATCAACACATGGTGGCAGCGACCGACGAACTTCACCTCCGGAAGAAACCATTGAATGTCAGATTACGAGTCTAGTTCTGACGAAGAGTTCGATCTCAGCATCCGTGAACTTTTTGAAGGTTTCGACGAAGACGCCATTATGGAGGCACGTTTGGAACAACTTACGGCTCAACTAGCGGCCCAACAAGCAGCTTTCGAAGCTCAAGCCCTTGCTCAACAGCAGCAAGATACTACCATTCAACAGTTGCAGCAATCACTCCAACAAGAGCAGCAAAAGCATCTGCAACTTCCAGCAACACTCCTTCAGCTTTTGGGAGCGGGATCAGCCACGCCGCCCCCAGAACAATTTTCCTTCACAGCAGCAGACTGGCCCGCATGGATCAAGAGGTATGAACAATACAAAGACTCATCCCCTGTGAAAGTGCTGGCCCCAGAATCTCAAGTGAACAACCTGTTGTACACAATGGGACCCAAATCCAATGACATTTTTGAGGCGTTCAAGCTGACTGCAGAAGAGAAAGTGGACTTTGCCAAAGTGAAGGAGAAGTTCGACTCACATTATGTAGCTAAGAAAACCAAGCTGTACGAACGAAGCAGGTTCAACAGCCGAGTACAGCTGCCTGGTGAGTCTATTGACGCATTCATCACAGACCTTCACACTATTGGAAGGAGATGTGAGTATGGCACTATGACGGATGAACTGATTCGTGATCGAATCATAGCAGGCATGCTCAACAAAGCTTTATCCACAGCTCTTCAAAGTGAAGAAAATGAACCAACTTTGGAGAGGGTTTGCAACAGGGCTAGACAAACTGAACTTGTGTCTACCCACCAACATCTGTTGCATCAACAGCAGCAGCGAGCCGAGGGAAGTGCATCTGTGGCTGGGGTATCAAGAAACAAACCTTTCACCAAGAAAGACACCTCATCACACTCAGAAGATGGCAAGTCCTGTGGCTGGTGTCTCAGCAAGTTTAGACATGACCGAGAACAATGCCCTGCTAAGAATGCCCAATGCAACTACTGCAAGATTACTGGACATTGGGAAGTCAAGTGCAAGCTGAAGAAGAGAGACGAAGCTAGGAAACCACAATCTGAGAAGAAGCATGCATCAGGCAAGAAACAAGAAAAAAAGGCAGTGCATAATGTGGAGACAGAAGAAAAACCCAGCCCATCTGTAGCAGGCGTAACAAACTGCGAGGCGTACAATTTCTTCATGAGTACAGTGACCATACCAGAGAAAGAAGAGCCAGTGGTGGCAACAGCTGAACAGTCAAACCATTCAGTGGAGCCCAAACAAGTAGAAGTTCCATACGTACCACCACAAATGGTAAATATCAAAATAGGTACTGTTGACATTTCTATCAAGATTGACTCGGGTGCAGATGTCACATGTGTGGGAACGGATTACTATAACAAGCATAAAAATAGTTTTCCCCCACTGGAGAGTGCAAGTGGACTTCATTCTGCCAATTCTGAAAACATGAATGTTACTGGCAAGATAAGCAAGATCAGACTTCAGTATAAGGACAAGTACCTGTATACTCCTCTCTATGTGGTGCCAGGTGTCAAGACTGCACTCCTAGGAAGATCAGAAGGAATCGCCTTTGGTCTAGTCAAAGATGTAGCAACAGTCGGAGCAGAAGAAAAGAAGATCACGCCAGAAGAAGAGTTCAAGTCTGTTTTCAGTGGGCTCGGAAAGATTCCTGGATCGTATACTATTGAGCTCATTGAAGGTGCGAGACCATTAGCTATCACCGCACCCAGACACATCGCCATTCCTCTCAGAGAACCTGTCAGAGAAGAGCTTGAAGACATGAAGAAGTGTGACATCATCGAGCCAGTGGAGCATCCAACCAAGTGGTGCAGTCCGCTGGTGCCTGTCATCAAGAAGAAACCAGATGCCGATGGAAAATTCAGTCTTGGTTCTATCCGCATCACTGTGGATTACACCATTCTGAATGAAAATGTGGTTCGCGAACTGTTTCAGCTTCCAACAGTGGAGGAATGTTTCGCCCAAGTGTCTGGATGTAAGACATTTTCCAAGTTAGATGCATCCAAGTCCTACTTCCAAGTGGAGTTGAGCGATCAGTGTCGTGACCTTACCACATTCATCACCCACATTGGAAGATTCCGATACAAGAGGATGCCAATGGGACTTAAATCATCTAGTGAAGTTTTCCAGCGGAAGATGTCTCACATTCTAGCTGGGGTCCCAGGAGTCGTCAATCTCATGGATGACATCCTGGTAGGAGGTTCAACCAAAGAAGAACATGACCAACGACTCCGAATGGTGCTCCTGAGACTCAAAGAAAATAATTTGACTCTCAATCAATCCAAATGCAGCATTAGAGTTGAAGTGTGCGTTATGCTGGGCCATCTGATCAACGCAGAAGGTGTTAGACCACTAATGTGCAAGCTGCAACCAATTTTGGAGATGCCTATCCCCCCTGATGTATCAGCACTCAGAAGCTTCTTGGGATCTGTGAACTATCACATGAAGTTCATACCCAATCTGGCAGAAATCAACAAACCTCTCAGAGACCTCATCAAGGAAGATTCCATGGATGGGTGGAGCCAGAGTCATGACGAATCATTTCTAATCATTAAGAAGATCCTCACATCACCCCCAGTCTTGGCGTGGTATGATCCGAAGCGACCAACTCGAGTCACAACAGATGCCTGCATGTATGGCGCAGGAGGAGTCCTGGAACAAAGGGATCCCCATCAAAATGTGTGGAGACCGGTGGCCTTTGTGTCAGTTAGTTTCACTCCCACTCAATTGCGGTATTCTATGGTGGAGAAGGAAGCCTGTGCCGTAGTGGTGGTGTTGGAAAGGCTTGCCCTACTTCTCATCGGGCTGCCTCAGTTCCTCATCAGGACCGACCACAAACCTCTAGTGGCGATTCTGGAAACCAAACCAATCAGTGAACTGCCTGTCAGGCTACAGAGATTCCGAATGCGTCTCGTCCCCTTCTGGTATAAAGTGGAACACATCCCTGGAAAGTTCAACTATCTGGCTGACATCCTGTCAAGAGCCCCCTTGAAGACGGTTCGTGAAGATAAGGATATCCTGGAAGAAGAAGCAGTGGAAGAATTAGTTGTCGCAACAGTGGCTCTGTCACTACCAATGTCCTCGCCTTGTTTGCAACGAGTGGAAGCAGCTCAGCAAGAGGACCCAATTTCACAAGTTCTTACCCATTACATCATGGAAGGCTGGCCCAATACCTATGAGCTAATACCTGGAACATGTGAATTCTACAACTTCCGTGCTGATTTAACCATGACCAAAAGTCTGGTTACTTTTCAAAAAAGGATGTACGTGCCACCCCCTTTGAGACAAGACATGTTGAAGAAGCTCCACGAAGGACACTTGGTGCTCGTCAAGTGTATCAGAAGAGCGCAGCAGTCAGTGTGGTGGCCCACCATCAATGCTGATTTGAAAGAGATGATATCTAGATGCAAACCGTGTCTGGAAAATGGCCCACTGAGACCAGAACCAATGATAAGTGAACAAGTTCCAAAACACCCTTGGGACATCATAGGTATGGATCTTGGAATGCTTGAGGGACAAGATTATTTAGTCATCATCGATGGATACTCCAAGTTCCCCATCTTCTACAAGATGACAACCACCACAACAGCAGCTGTTATCAACAAGCTAAAGCCGCTGTTTGACTTATTTGGATCACCCAATCTCATCAAAACTGATCGGGGCAGGCAATTCATAAGTCAAGAGTTTGAACAATTCCTGGAGAAGTATGATTGTGTTCAAACCCAATCAAGCTCAGAACATCACCAAAGTAACGGACTTGCAGAAGCTGGAGTCAAGATAGTCAAAACTATTCTCAAGAAAAACCCAGAAGATCCTGGAAAAGCTTTGCAAGAATACAGGGCTACTGTGAATGACACTGGGTACAGCCCAGCGCAGCTGTTTCTATCCAGAAACATCAAAACTTCCCTGCCGTCGGTGAAGATGGACTACAAGCCTCAAGTCCCTCCCGTCAAGAAGTACCGGCAATACCTGCAAAATAGACAGGACAAGGCTAAGTCTTGGTACGACCGGAAACATAGAGTGAAGCCCTTGGAGATATTGAAAGTTGGTGACAAAGTATGGGTGAAAGACACCAGGCAATACGCCACCATCACTCATCTGGCCAGAGGAGATAGGAGCTATGGTATGATTACCGACAAAGGATATCCAATTGTAAGAAACAGAGCATATCTTACTGCGATTCCCAACTCTCCCCAGCAGGAGCCAGTCACCAATAACCTACCACCAACGCAGCCTTTGCAGCCCTCGGATCCAGTCATCATCCCTGAACAGGCCCCTGATGCGGATCCAAATGTAACACCGCCAGAGACCCAGCCGACAGCCTCTGAAGATCCCCCTGCTACTGTGGAACATCCCACTCCAAGCCAAGGAGGGAACCAAGAAGATGAGCCAGTCCGCAGGAGTCAGCGAGCAAGGAAGAAGAAGGTCTGCCAAGAGCCAGGCTGCAACTGTGGACAGTGAACTCGGACATTCCTGTAACGTGTCGGCGCTGATTAATTTGTTTTTTTTTTTTTTATTTTTCCCCCTTCATTTTTTTTTATTTTGTAGTCCTAGTTATTAAGTAGGTTAAGTTTGTTTATTTTCTTTCCTTACTTTTTTTTCCCTCCCTTTTTGCTTAATCATTTATTCTATGTCAGTAGCATAACTTACTATTAGGTTGTTTAAATTCTCCCGTCCAATCTAAGTAGTTCTCACATTGCTCTGTGATTGTATTTAATTAAGGTACCCTATTCCAAAGATTGTACCAAAATAAGGGTTTAGTTTTAGATTGTTTGGTTATGTATAATTTCCTCTTATTTCTAATTGAGATTTAGAATCTAAAATCAATGTGCCATGTAAGATCTGTGTTTGAGTATTATCTATCTTACCTAGAGTTTTTGTTTTAGCTTGTTAATTCATTCCAAAACCCAGTTGGCAACATAATTTAGATGTTAAAAGCTTCTTTTCTGTATTTACAAACTCTGTTTAATATCTAACAAAAGAGGGTGTATTAGTTTGTCATATTTAGGTACAGAAACATTTGTCATATCGTCATTCTATTGTTTTATGTCGTTTGTCTTTTGTCTACTACTGCGTTTGTCGTTTCTGAAATTTCCTGTTCACTCCTGTACTGCCAAGCCAATGGAATACACGTGAAAATTGAATCTACCAGTTTTATCTATTTCCATCCTGAAAATCTACAAGAGAATTACGAAATCAACACATGATGCATGGGGATTCGAGAGAAATCACAGCAGAGGGTGTTGCAAAGCTGAGGGGTAGCCGCGTAGCCGTCACCACACCGGACAAAGTTGCTGGCGCCACAGTTCGGCACACTCGTCTAGGTTGTCTAGGTCCAGGGCATGTCAACATGGTGAAGGGCTCCAGCAACGCAATGTCAAATAGTCAACCCCAGTCGAGAACACAATCACTCACACGTTCTGTCATCAAGACAGCTCTCCGAGAAAGGTTGGCGCGAGCGCTAGACGCGCTAGGTGCGGTGTCTTTCGTCAGCCTCAGCAGACTGCCGAGACTGACGGTGTGGTGGTGACGGCCAGCCACACGGCCACTCTACTCTGTTTCCGAGTCATAGTGCGCTCGCGCTGCCGCTGCCGCCGGGCCCGCGGGGCAGCGAGGCCCGGCCCGGCCCGGCGGGGCCCGAGGCTCTCGAGGGGCCCGGTGCCGCGCAGCAAGGGGCGGGGGCGTGGCGCGTAGCCCGCGGCCGCGTGTTCGCGGGTGGGTGCCGAAGGTACACTGCCAACGTCGACGTCCGATACACATCGCGTGCGTGCAGTCCCTGCTCTTCCATTTTTGGCGGTCGTCTGACTGTCGTCTGCTAGCCTCAAGGCCGATGACGTCACGGGATGCGGCGGGAGGAAGGACCACAGGGGAGTCTTTTGAGCTGAGGGATCTCTACGCTTCGCAGAGGCCACTGGCTTCGCCTAGGCTTCGCGCTCCCACCAGAGAGAGAGAGAGACTGGGCGGACTGATTCCGAGAGTCGTTTTCTTCGCTCTGTCTCACTCGCACTCATGGAGCGTCCCGCCTAGGTGCGAGAGAGACAGAGCGACGAAAGCGACTCGGATCCAGATCACGCGACCGCGCCTCTTTACGTCACGCGCTGACCCTTGTCACAGTCGCCTGACTCCGAAGGAGCGTCTCGCAGCGTCTCGTCGCTCTGTCTCTTTTGCACATGGAGCGTCTCGTAGGGGTGCGTTGGGTCGGGTCTAAGAGCAGCATCTTTGGAAACGGTGCTTTACCTGCAGCCGTGCTGCTCCATTGACAAGCGGAGGAACAGGTGAAGATAAGCGAGAATTACAAGGCGAGAAAAGCATGAAGCCATGGGAGGGGAGTCCCAAAGGATCGAGAGCAGCTAGCAGAAGATTTCAACGTTTTCTTGACAAAACATGAGGTAAAAAAGAAAGTATACGTCAAATTAGTGATTCAAATAATGTGAACAGGGACTCGAACACCGCCCGATAACGGGTTAGGTGCGTCAGCAGGCCAACACGAGCCTACCGCAAAACAAAAAGATCGCTAGCTTAGACGCTGCTCGGAACTTGATTGGGCCCGATCGGGTTTGATTGTTTGATTTGATAGCGCGAAGCGAGGCGGAAGCGAACGTGAATCTGGGGGTGGGCGTTTGCGGTGCGCGTCAGGCGTGTGGGTGAAAGCGTAGGCGAAAGTAGTGTAGTAGACGAAAGCGTGGGCGGGTGAAGCCGAGAGAACGTGAACATGGGCGCGGGCGGTGGGAACTGGGAGTTCCCTCCACCACCCGCGTCCACGTTGACGGTTTCGCCTTACGCTCCACCCTGCGGCACCCATGCTTCGTCTCCGCCTCGGCCTCACCCCCTCGCTCGTCCAGACGATTCACGCACGCCCAAGTCACTGTCTTCGTTTTAGTCTCCGTAAAGCCACGAATGCTCACCGACAGATTCACGTTCGCGAACCGGCCATGAACGGCCTGCTGGACCGCACGCACCCCGTGGCAACACTAGGCAACACCCGCCGCGGTCTCGCCACCCCTCTCCGCCCCCGCCGCGCACTGCCCCGCACCCCTCGCGCCACGGGCCGTCAGCCCTAGCCGCCTTAGCGGCCCCGCCCTGCGCGACGCCTGCCCACTGCGCCTGCGCGGCGTGCAACACGCAACACCCCGACCACTTCTCACCTTCTCGGGCACTCGGGCAAAGCTTTCGCTCAAACCAAACAACTCACTCACGCCACCTGAGCCGGAGTCAATACGCCTTGAGCAACCTCCGGAGGACACGCCGGGCCGAAGTTCGCCCCCATTATGCCCAATCCCCAGCAAGGACGTACCCGACGTGCGTAGTGAAGGCGGCAGGATCGGCGCGGGTCGTGGTCCTCTCTTCAGGCCGCCGGGGCTGCTCGCTTGCTGCTTGGTGGGGCCAGTCGGGCGGTCAACGACGGGGACGGGTCAGTCGCCAAGTCGGCCAACAAGAGGAGGGACGTGTGGCTCTGATACGGAATACCAGACGCAATTGGAGGCATCATGGTGTGGCGTGGTCTCAACGCGACCCGCGTGGACCGGACCCACAGGACTAGATCTTTCACAGCCGCCGCCCCGCCCCGCCCGCCTTCCGCCCACTTTCCCCCCGCGTCCCGTCCACCCCCACCCGAAGTCTCCCCGCCGCCTCCCTACGCCACCCCCTACACCTCCCTGCTGTCCCTGCTCCCGTGCCAGGCTCTCGCTCTCTCCCCGCTGTCATGGCCCCTCTCGTCTCTCTCCCCTTCCCCCTCCCCCGTCCTTTCCGTCTGCTGCCACCAGGGCCGTCGCCGCTTCGCCTCCCGGCCCCGTCGTCTGTTCCCCGAAATCCGGGAACCACCTGATTGTTAAGGTGTGAAATTTTGAATGAACAAATCCTCTACATTACGCGGTTTGCATTTTGTTGCCAGATACAAAAACTGCAGAGTGTCACTCCCATTTATCCTTATTGCATCACCTGCCTGGGCTGCTGAATTAAAGGTTATATCAATTCAGCATTTTGTATCGAACGTCCCTTTTAAATTTGACAGTGTCGACCCAATGCCATGTCTATTGTAAAATTCTAGTTTTATTTGATGTCAGCAGAAGCCATCTTTATGTACGAAGATCCTAAGTAATTTCGTGATGAGGTTAGGTTTCCCTATGGTTGACATATTGTCAGTATTTATAAACGTCAAAGTGTTGTTACAAGACAAATTTTCAGGCATTACATCTTAGTGCATTTGAACCTTTCTTTTGAATTTGTGATCTCACATTAATTCTGCTACCTACTTTAAATAAAAGTCTATAATTAAGTGCTGTTGTAACAGGTGGATGAGAAATTAGTCATTTTCCTTATCTTTAGTATTTCTTTTGAATTAGGGCTTCGCTTGCGTAGTAAACAGCCTGGCACAACTGGCACATAAATTGCTGTTGGTGTTTGAATTTGTATCAAATTAACTTATGGTATTCTGCGTCCTCCATTTTCCTTTTTCAGAATGGGTGCTATCAACAACTCGGATTCGACATGGCAAAGCAAACTGGAGCTTATCACTCGCAATCTTCAGGAAGTTTTGGGAGAAGATAAAATAACCACTATCCTGAAAGATCGGGACCTAAAAGTCTACTGGGGCACAGCAATTACGGGCCGTCCCCATATTGCTTACTTTGTCCCAATGTCCAAAATTGCAGACTTCTTGAGAGCAGGCTGTGAGGTGAGTGCAATTGAACCTGTTCAGCAAACCTATGACTTTCGTTAAAAACATTGATACTAACAGTGAACTGTTTGCCCGCAGGTGACCATTCTGTTCGCAGATCTTCATGGATATTTAGACAATCAAAAAGCACCTTGGGAGCTTCTGGCCCTCCGGACTCAATATTACGAAAATGTCATTAAACAAATGCTCCTGTCTATTGATGTCCCTCTTGATAAGCTCAAGTTTGTCCGGGGAACAGACTACCAACTTTCAAGGTAATGCTTGTTGTTAAACCCTTTCATACTTTACTGCCAAATTTATCCGTAAATTTTAAAATTGTTATGCTCGTTTTCTGTTTTTAAACAGAGAGTATTCCCTGGATGTATACAGAATGAGCTCTGCAATCACAGAGCATGACGCCAAAAAAGCAGGCGCAGAAGTGGTGAAGCAAGTGGAGCACCCCCTGTTGTCTGGTTTACTGTACCCTGGTGTGTAATAATATCTTTTATTGTCTCACCTACTTTTTCTCTTCTAATTGAAACCATTTTCATTCTTTTTTCTTCTGTGCAGGTCTTCAGGCTTTAGATGAAGAGTACCTGAAAGTTGATGCGCAATTTGGAGGGGTCGATCAAAGAAAAATCTTTACCATGTCAGAAAAGTACTTACCCCAACTAGGCTATGCGAAGCGAGCTCACTTGATGAATCCTATGGGTGGGTGTTGTACTTTTATGATTATTCTGTATAAATTTTTAAAGGCCTCCTTTATGAGCTGTTTTAAGTATAGGTTTTTGATGTTATAAATTTTTCTCTCAGTTCCTGGCCTTACTGGTGGTAAAATGTCATCCTCTGAAGAGGATAGCAAAATTGACCTTCTGGATGAGCCCGCTGTTGTCAAAAAGAAGCTAAAGAAAGCATTTTGCGAGCCCGGAAATATCACTGAGAATGGAATCCTATCTTTTGTGAAGCACGTCATATTCCCTCTTGGTGCCCAGGAAGGTAAACTAATGCCACTGAACATTGAGTGTGAACATCAAATTAGTTTATTCTTCCTCTTGATTGTTTATTATTAATGTGTACTCTTTTGGGACAGGGTTCCTTGTCCCCCGTTCAGCTGATCATGGTGGAGACCTCACTTTTAGTACATTTGAAGAACTAGAACAGGCATTTGCCAAACAGGAAATCCACCCAGGTGATCTCAAGGCTGCTGTTGAACCCCAGATAAACAAGCTGCTAGCTCCTATCATTAAAACCTTCCAGGATCCCAAGCTCAAAGAGCTCACAGCCAAAGCATACCCTCCACCGGGCAAAGCTACCAGTAAGTATGTTGCACTGCATTTACTGGTATTTTCCTTATTTTTTGTATTGTATTGTTTCAAATTATCTTGGGAAACTTTTTAGAGGGTGGAGCAGCAGGAGCAGCTTCAGACGAGCTTGTGCCCAGCCGACTTGATATCAGGGTTGGCAAAATTGTTGATGTTCAGAATCACCCTGAAGCTGACAGTTTGTATGTCGAGAAAATTGATGTTGGTACGTCTAAAAATTCCATATTGAAACAAACAAAATGTTCCCTCAGAACGCTAATGCGTTTCTTTGCAGGTGAGGGTGTGCCCAGAACAATCGTTAGTGGTTTAAAGAACTTTGTTCCCATCGAGGAAATGCAAAATCGTGATGTTATTGTTTTGTGTAACCTTAAGCCAGCTAAGATGCGGGGTGTTGAATCCTGTGGTATGGTATTGTGTGCCTCTGTGTAAGTAATTTTCTCGTTTTTTACTCGTTCTTTCTTTTTGCAATGTTTGTCATACTTAATGTGAACTTTCTAATGAATATCCTTTTAACAGTGATGAACCAAGGGCAGTGGAGCCTCTGTTAGCTCCTGAGGGCAGTGCCCCAGGAGAAAGAGTTTTTGTTGAAGGCTATGAGAATGGGACACCTGATGATGTCCTCAATCCGAAAAAGAAAGTCTGGGAGAAGCTTTCGGTAGGTGGTTAAGCAGGTTATTCAGTATCAGCTGTACCATTATGATCTTAACTAACTTGTGACCATGTTCTTCACAGGCTGATTTGAAAACATCTTCTCAGTGTGAAGCTCAGTGGCAAGGAAATCCTCTCCTCACAAAATTGGGCAAGATTACCTCAAAATCACTGAAATCTGCACCAATCAAGTGAGGGGGCTGTGGCGTGACACGGAAATAAAACATATTTATTTATGATTAAAGGTTAACTAAGTTTTCCATAAAGAGCAGAAAATTATTATACCCAAGGTAAATTTATTGATTTCATAACATACAAAAAAACTAGTAGCAAACTAGAGCATAAAAACAAGGTGACCAACTGGGTTACTACCTAAATAAAACTCAGACCATTTGTTGCAAAGATACAAAACAAATTGCCACAGTACAGCAGCACAGCCATCTTTTTGAGTCCAAATCCATTTTTCTTCAAAATACAAAAACCCTGCGAGCCCCCACAGGTAATTCAAGAATACTTTCAAAAAAAAAAAAAAATCAATCTAATTAAACATTTTCAAAGTTAATCACAACATTATTGTCACTTTCAAACTACTTACAAGTTTATTAAAAATTAACAATGACACATAAGAAAATGGCTTCCGCGAATGATGCAATGGCCACATGCAGAAAATGTCTCCAACAGTGACACAAGATAATTACACACAGAGTAGTGAATGACTAGTAGGAATGCGGTGAAAATTGAAACATATGGCATTAGAAAGCTGAAAACAGTATCTATCTCCTCGACTAAAAGTCAGTCACTAGACAACTAATAAGATCTTTGATCCTGATACAAATACTCCTTTAGAGATCATCTAAGGGAACGATTGAGGGAATGACCGACATACAAAATTATCACATAAAAAGTACATTTTCTAATTGGAGTGAAGTACATGACACCAAGTTTGGAAAGTGCTTCTACAGGGTAGAAGAAAAACAACTGCTCACAGCTACAGAAAAAGCAGCTAAGAAGTGACACATACTAATTATTATATGGAATGAAGGTGGTGTGATAGGTAAATAACAGACAAATTATGCCATAGTAAAAGTGCAGTAAATTCCAATTGCAAAAGAGCAACAAGAAATCATTGACAAAGAAACAGACAAGTGAAATATTTTGAGAAGTTTGTTAATTAATTAGAATTGTGTGAAAATTTTAGTATAGAAATGAGAACATTAAAAATGGTCATTTCTCCTTCACTGTAATTCCTGAGGTGAAAATGAAATATATTAGAAAGTACAGTCTGCTTTCCGGCAGTTGATCCAGCTAGCCATGGTATGGTGGAGGCTGCTTGTTTCCAGCTCCATCAACCGTAACAACACCAGGAACACTTTGATGGCTTCTGGGGTTATCAATATCATCATATGCACCCTGAGGTCTTCCTGGTGCAACAGAGTCATTTCGACCTAAACAGAAAAAAAAAAGATTGTTATGTGTATTTTACTGGATAAAATTTAGGCAAAGAAGATTGAAAAATCTAAAGCAGATTATCTTACCAAAAATGTCACCAAATGTACCACGGCCAGGGTATTCAGGACCTCCACGTTCAGATGCTAATCTCCACAAGACAACAGAAGTGACTGGACGGATCACGAGATTAAGGATGGTCATGGCAACACTAAAGCGCTCGCTGCTGCCTGTGAAAATACAAAACATTGTTACACTCCACACAATATGGAAGGCCACTGGTGTTGCAGGGGAACCGCCTCTCTGGACTAAAGAAGCCCATCTAGACAGGGGCTGGCCTGGAGTACATAGGTGATACCCCCGCAGCACCAACCCTCTTGTAAAGATTGCAAAGATAGTCTTGAGACAAGGTGCATAGAATACTAGCAAATCTTGCTACTTACTGAAGCTCCGAGGGAAGTACGTAGCCAAGACAATGACGTCAAAGAGAATGCTTATAACGTTAATAATCACAGACTGAAACCCAAAAGTTGTGAGTTAATTATAGCAAAAGATAAACAACCAAATAACGGCAGACAAATTATACATACAATTTGCAGAGGCTCATCAGATTCTTTATTATGGATTGACCACAGAATAGAAAGAATGAATAAAGCATTGTAAAATAGAAAGGAATCTGGGCTCCAGTAACCTTGGATGCCCCATGTTATGAGGACGAAGTGCACAAGGAAAACACCCTGAAACAAGCAAAGTAGATGACACTCATGAGTCTTTGTCCCAAAATCTAGATCTCAATACGGTCCATAGTTCGAGATGGGGAGATAATATGCAAACAATACATGAATGTAGTTCTACTACGGCTTAAATTTGTATCTTCAACCAAAAAAAACAAAGGTAGCAACACCACAATTAACAGTACCTTCAGATGCTTATTCTGCATGTTGCCGAGATCAACCATCTTCAGAGGACGGGTTTGATTTCTCTCACCCTAAACAATTGGAAATCAATACAGATTTCCTGTTAAAATGTAGAGAAATGATTCGGGATTACGTAACTACGCTTCCACCCACCCACCAACTGTCACTCCTTGAGTGTAGAGTCTGCTATGAGGGAGAAACGCAGAGAAACGCCACCGTGATTCACACATCCGAATGCGCAATTTCTCATACAAGGCACGGTAACGCGCCAGGCCAGGCTGCTGCGTGCGCGTGCGCGATGGCCTACCGAGGAGCGCTGCGGGATGTCGGTAAGTTTGAATCCACCAAAAAGAAACCCAACCAGAGCAAGAGCAATCATTGCAAGCAATGATAAATATTTTAGTGAACCAATCCGCGGACTAGCTAGCAGATTTGACCTCACAGCAGCGGTCACCTTGGGTAGTATCTATCAATACTCAAATCCGGCCATGAAGGCTAATGTGTTTGGTTTGGTTGCGAAAGAAAATCATAACAATCCCATGTGAAGTGAATAAGTGAATAAGTCCAAAAAGGGATGTGCTATGTGGTGAGTGGAGTGTAACAACGATATTCTGAGACATAGTGAATGCCCATCGAGCATCTTTGGGGTGATAGTAATGTTTTTTAGCCCTATGAAATGATAAGTGATCTTCTTGAAATAAACTTTTTAAATCTTATAATTCCAGGTTTAAATGTTTATTGAAACACAATGAAGTACACATTAACTGGTTCAGTGAACAAAAATTACATTATTATGGGGTTTCTTCAACAAGATAGAACCCCCTATTACAATTATGAAGTAAATAGACTAAGGATATGTTTCCAAGCCATCGTTCTGCTTAGTGTGCCATTCAATAAACTTTGTGGACTTCCACTTTCGCATCTGACCGACAATTTCATGTTCATTTGCTCATTAAACTAACATTAAACTACGGATGAGAAATTAATGGAATAGCCTTCTTACTTGTAACGGCATGCAAGTGTTTTGTGCGACACATGAATGAATCACAACTATCTACTGCAGAGGCAAACACGAATGCCCGTCGAGTATATTCAGAAAGCAAGACTCATGCTCGTTACCTTTTGGCATACATCCTCACACATGGTCAAGGAAGCACAATCGGGGGCAGGAACTCACACCACTCCTAAACACAGTCCGTGTTTACAAATACAAAAACAAAATGACAAAGAAAGTATATTGGTTGCGGGTGCAGTTATTTTGTTTACTAGGATATACACATATTTTAGAGAGCTAGCTTGTGGCGCAGCTGCACAACAAATCTCTGGATATAAATGGGCGGATAATCTAGACCGACAAAGGAAGTGCCGTCCACAACGTACTTTGTCAGGCTCAGACAATTTGTTTCTTAACATAAAGTAAAACAAAGTCGATTCGCCTTGCTAGCTTCACCACATTGGTTATGAGAATAAAATTACTGCCTTATGATACTCAATACTGTAGACTGGAGACAATGACTCCCTTCTTATCTCTGGTAAATTAAAAGCAACCCTCTATTACTGTAGGTCTGACAGGCAGTGCATATTTAAATTTACAGACACATTCACTCAAAGGTTTAAATGCGAATCTGGCGACGCACTCAAAGTTTCAAACGTCTCTACAGTGCATATTCTGCTCTTTTTTAAAAAGAGTAAAGTGTTAATATTTTGTATCACAGCCTTAAAGTCAATGATGATGATAGTAGCATTTTCACCACTTAATTTTTTCTCCATGTGTAGCAGTACAGTATACCACTCATACACATACTCACACACACATACATACACCGCTACATCAGACTCACGGTACACAACACTTCCAATACTTAAAAACAAAGCAAAAAACGAGAGAAGAAAAAAATCGGTCGTACTATTGCAACAATAAATGCAAATCTCATCATGGTTTTGAATAAACTTGAGTAAGTCAAATGACAAAGTGCTGTTCCTTAAGCTTTGGTCAGAATGTTGCTGCCATATACTATGGCGTCCATTCACCAGTTATTGGAACGGGGACAGCCCCTAGGGCTTTTGCTAAAAGAAACAAACCAGTCGTTTATTATAAATAGACGATTTTGATCTGAGTTTCAGACACCATCAGGTTACTCAAAGAGCACCAAAAACGAAATAATGGTTTCTAACAAAAATCAGTCTAAGTCAGATTTTGAGTATTTAAAAAAAAATCGATATGGTGTAGATTGTTTGGAGTACAATATATTTTGTCTGCATGAAAAGAAAAGAAACATAATAGAAAGGTCTTTGGAAAAGAGCCTCACGAAGACAAAATTTCATGACGCAGTGGATTTTCACTCAGTTCTCTATTGGGGGCCTGCTGTTCTGATTGATATCATTGTCCACTCTGGCGTTCCCCACTTCTGAGGGGTTCCGTGGCCCCAGCAGAAAAACAGCGCCAATGCGAGAAAAGCCAGCTCAGAAACTAAGGATGAAACTAACACAAACTGACGATACAAACACACAAAACAGACGCATCTTACAATCAACAACAAGATCAACAACAAGCAGCCCCTTCCAGGCCTTCCAGGCCGGCCGGTCCGTCAAGTCCGTCGTTCAGACGTACCACTCCTTGACGCCCTGCTTCTTCCGGGGCTGCGACACGGGGCCCGGCGCCATGCCCGACACCCCTGCGGCCATCTGGGCCTGGCGGGCGTTGCCGTTGTGCGGGTGCATGCCCACGCCCATGCCGACGCCAATGCCCATGCCGGGCCCGCCGTGCTGCGGGGGCGGCGAGGCCTGCTGCCCGGCCAGCAGCGCGGCGTGCGGCGAGTGGCCGGGCCCCGCGTAGCCCAGCGACTCGTCCACCTTGTAGGCGCCGTCGCCGCGGCTCTTGACCTTCAGGATGATGAGCACGATGAGGATGATGGCGATGAGCGTGCCCGCGATGACGCCGATGATGAGGGCCGCTGTCTCGCCTGCCTCCGGGGAGATGCGGCTGTTGTCCTGCGGGCAGAGCGAGGGAGGGGAGTTAGACGCCTGGCGGGTAGGCACTCCGGCGGCACGCGTGCTCGACGGGCCGGCCTGCCGAGCGCCTGCAGGGGCCCGGGTAGGCACCCCGGCGGACAGGCGTGCTCGGCGGGCCGGCCCATCCTGCCTTTCGCAGGCGCCCGCCGTGCGCCGCCAACTCACCCTGCCGTGGCCGGGCCTCCTTGGCGTGGGTGGCGGTCTCGGAATGATTGTGGGCGGCAGGCGCGGATGCTCGGTGGTCGTAGTCGTGGTTGTGGTCGTGGTGGTGGACGTGGTGGTCGACTTGGTTGTCCCCTGGGTCGAGGTGGAGCTCGGCGTCGAGCCCGAAGTGCTGCCCGGCTCTGCGGAAAGAGGAGATCGGTTAGAATGGAGTCGAAGTGGTGGAATGGAATGGGAGGTCTCAGCAGCAGACTGATTCGGAGCGTCGTTTACATCGCTGTCTCTCTCGCACTCATGGGACGTCCCGAAGGGGTGCGAGAAAGACAGAGCGACGAAAACGACTTTCGGAATGAGTCTGCGGGGCGACGCGATGACCAACCTGTGCCGGCGAACGTGGTGGAGGGCGGCAGGGTCTCCACGCCGGTGCCGTCGGGCGCTGCGGGGCCGGGGCCGGGGGGCAGTCCGGGGCTGCTGCCGGCCTGCGTGGTGGAGCCGACGCCCCCCACGGTGGTGGTGGACACGTGGCCCGTGGAGCCCGGCGTGTAGCTGCCGCCGTAGGGCGACTCCGGCGAGCCCGTGCCCGGCCCGTAGAAGGTGGTGCCGACGTCCGCGTCCGTGGTGATGGAGCTGCTCGGGGTGCTCGACCCTGCGCAGAGACACTCAGTCAACCTCCACGCCGCCCAAACAGCACGACTGTCCGTTTGGCCCGAGCCCGCACCTTTCGCGCCCGTGGTGGACACGTTCTCCTCCGGGACGGTGATCTCGCCGGAGCCGGAGCCCACGAAGCAGTCCTCGTCGTCGCAGACGGGCTTGCCGGCGCCGCCGCCAGGGACGTGGCCGGCCTTGCCGCCGGGGCCCGGACGCCCCGCCGTGGGGGAGCGCGTCGGCGGGATGAACACCGGCGTGATGAGGTCGTCCGCTGGAAAGGGTGGATTGTAACCATCAAACCGGTGTTGACTTGAGAAGAAAATGGCGGACGTGGCGGTCGCTACACTGATTCCAAAAGTCGTTTTCATCGCATTGTCTCTTTCGCACCTAAACGGCACGCCTCATGAGAGCGAGAGAGACAGAGCGACGAATCAGTCTTTCGGTTACCTCCGTTGGGGTCGACGATGGGCGTGCACTCGTCCTCGTCGTCCGCGTTGCAGCCCGAGCCCGCCCCGGAGAACACCAGGTCGTCCGACGCCGTGGTGGCGGAGGGCGACGTCTGCTGCATGCGCTGCGGCGGCTCGTGCTTTCTGCCCGACAGTGACGTCAGCGGCTGCAAGGGAAAATGGAAATGCTCAGCGACTCGTCTTGGAATGTTGCAGCACTCACACCGGGGCCCGAGACTCACCTGCACGTCGCCGCGGGCGAGGGTGCGGCGGTCCTTGGAGGCGGCCAGGTCGAGCACGCGGATGCCGTTGAAGACGAGGCCGGAGACGACCCCGGAGAAGGCGCGCTCCACCTTCTTCTTGGAGGCGCTCCAGCGGCCGCCCACCTGGATCTTGGACTGGCTGTTGAACACGGACAGCTGGTGGCCGGGCGGGTGCTGCGTCTGGACGTTGTAGTCGTCGATCTGGATGGTGGAGTTGGCGCCGGAGCGCGTGAAGCGCACCACGTGGTACTGGTTGTCGTTGACGCGCACGTTGATGTCCCCGATGGGGTGGTCGCTGGTGCCCATGTTGTACACCATGAACATGTTGCCCTCCACGATCTCCAGCTCCATGTAGTCCTGGCTGGTGGCCGAGTCGACGCGCAGCAGGATGGCGTCGTCCTTGGTGGTGATGAAGCCCAGCGCGATCACGTCGCTCTTCATCTCGGGGCGCCGCTCCTCCGGGAAGGCGTAGGTGATGAGGCCGCGGCCGGGGCCGAACTCGTACGACAGCGACTCTGGAAACGGCAAGCATGCGTCAGTGCAGGCCCGAAAATTACCATCTCAGGGTTCATCTTAGTTTTCTGGGCGCTTCTTACCCTCAGTGCAGCTCGGGCCGGTGTAGGACGTGAGGTCGCAGTCGCAGGCGTAGGAGTTCCACTGCTGGACGCACACTCCCCGGTTGGCGCAAACGTTCTCGCTGCACCGCGTGTTTTGGCCTGTCGCAGAAACATCCCGTTAGAAACGGCGACGGTTTTCCTATTTCGGCTGGCGGACAGGGAACAGGAAACGCACCGGCACAGCCCTCCACCACCTGGGGGCTCTGGATGGCCGCGTCCGTCAGGAGGTTCGGCGACTCGCCGTTGAGGTCCAGGCTGGCCAGGCAGCCCTCGTAGCCCTGGTGGGAGGTGACTTGCCGCGGCAGGCGCGAGAACATGTCCTCCGGCAGACCGCCTGAAACACGAGCAACTTGTAGGCGCGCGGGAGCGGCGGCGGCGGTTCAACGACGCACAGTGGATTCGCCAGAGGACCGGTGAGGTGACTAAAAGTCCGGACGCATTTTGAGCTCCAGAGTCGGCAAATAGTACTCGGACCGAACATGTGACCCCATCAATGGATTGCTCTCCGAACGAGGAATCCATTGGTGGGGGCACACGCTCGGTTCGAGTCCCGCATAGCGACTCTGGAGCTCAAAACGCGCCTAGAGTTTTGGCCGCCTCCACCGGTCTTCTGGCCCACTGTGCGGCGGGGCCGCGTTCGGCGGCGACACTCACCCACATACAGCAGCCCGTCCAGGTCCAGGTTCTCGTTCCTGCCCTTGCTGGTCACGCTGCTGAAGCCGTCGTCCACGAGCAGGGTGTGCTCGTGGGGCCCCGGCCTGCTGATGGTCACCGAGTGCCACTTGTTGTCGTTGAGCGCGAGGTGGCCGTTGTCGTGCAGGCGCACCGGGCCGTCCCCGAGGTCGAAGATGTAGTGCACGTGCCCGGACACGAGCTCCACGGCCAGGAAGTCGTGGTCGCGGCCGCCGTTGTACATCAGGATGCCGTTGGCTTGCCGCGTCTTGAACTGGGGAGGCATAATTGGGGATTAGACAGAGCTCGAAGCAGGCATATTTCGACAGTCGTTTTGGTCGCTCTGTCTCTCTCGCACTCAGGGCGTAGGTGCTAGAGAGACACAGCGAGGAAAACGCTTCTCGGCATCAGTGTCCTGGGAAGGCACACGCTGGCCGCGGCGAAGCAGTACCTGGAAGTAGATGTTGGTGACGCTGTAGGCCTTGAGCGTGGGCAGCCCGACGAACGTGTGCTTGGACTTGAAGTGCACGGGGTGGTGCACGAGCTGGCTGTCGCGCTTGCCGATGGACGCCGTGACGGTGATGTGCGCCGCGCCGCCCGAGGACGCCGTCGCGCCGGGGCCGCCGAGGCTGACGGGCACCTGGGCGCGCGCCATCTCCAGGTAGGGCATGCCGTTGAACGTGAGCTGCTGCATGGAGCCCGCGAAGTTGGACACCGGCGACGTCATCTGCACCTCCTCCTCGAGGTGCAGCCAGCCGCCGATGTGCAGCGTCCGCCACTCCAGCACGCCGTTGCGCGCCAGCGCCGTGGAGCCTGGGGGAGGAAAGCGAGGACGCGGGTTCAAATCCTGCTTCGGAATGTTGGTGCGGTGCGCGGTGCACCCAGACTGCGCGAGTGTTACGTGGCGGCAGCGGGGCAGCAGCAGGGCGGCGTGGCGAGCTGCTTGGCTGTGCTGCTCCGCTGCACAGTGGGCCAGAAGACCGGTGGACGCGGTCAAAATCCGGGACGTGTTTTGAGCTCCAGAGTCGCTGAATGGGACTCGAACCGAACGTGTGACCCCACCGATGGATTGCTCTCCGAACGAGGAATCCATTGCCGGGGTCATACGCTTGCTTCGAGCCCTGTTAGCGACTCTGGAGCTCAAGACGCGTCCTGAGTTTTAGCCGCCTCCACCGGTCTTCTGGCCCACTGTGCGCTGCTCCGCTCCCCATTGCCATGCGCGTTTATGGCGGCCGTTACTGCACCCCACCCCTCCCCCACCCCATTTCGCTCACGTAACGCCGTCCGCCCTATTTCTGAGCGATCTCAGTCACAGCCAGCCAGGCTGCCAGCCTCGCCTGTCCCGCCCTGGAAATAATAAAATGGCGGAGGGCAGGACGGCGCCTGAGGCCGGAGCCTGAGGCCGGCGGTCGGGTCGTCGCTCTGTCTCCCTCGCACTCATGGGGCGTCTCGCATGCGTGCGAGAGAGACAGAGCGACGAAACGACTCTTCGGAATGGCTCGGCTGGAGCCACCAGGCGAGGCAGGCGAGGCTCGTAAAAGCGCGCCAAACTCGGCGGGATTTGATGTATGTGTGGACGTCGCTGTCGCTCGCTTTTTAAAGCTTACCCAGCGAGGGTGCCTCGTCGTCCACCTGGAGCTTGAAGTTCTCGCCCCTCCTGGAGAAGCGCACCGTGTGCCACTGGTCGTCATTGAGGCCCTCGCCGGACACCAGCGCCTGCAACAACAGAAGGCCGTCAGCAGCTGCAGTCCATGGACTCCAGGGTGATTCCACCGCACTTGCGCTGGAGCTCAAAACGGGTCTAGAATTTTGGTCGCCTCCACCGGTCTTCTGGCCCACTGTGGGGCGGTCCGTAGGGTCCGTAGGGATGCGACAGAGACAGAGCGGCGTACCTTCTCCCGGTCGCCCAGGCGCACGGTGACGCGCACGCGGCCGCCGCTGAGGATGAGGTCGAGGCGGTCGGCCGCCGTGTCGGAGCTGGTGGCCATGAGCAGGCCGACGGGGAACTTGGTGCGGAAGCGCAGTGCCACGTCCTCGGCCTGGCTGCGCGCCGGGCCGCCCGCCGACACCCACACGTGCTGCGACCCGTTGAACGTGAAGGTGGTCGCCTCTGTGGGGGGAGAGAGACGGAGAGAGGGGATTAGGGAGGGCTGCGGCGACGGTGTTGAGGCGAGGCCACATAAAGGGAGTATGGTGGTGCGGAGCACCGCGCGCAAAACGCGCCACAGCCGCAGCGCGCCGCCATGGCGCCGCAGCGCGGTCCCGCAGCCCCGCAGCGCGGTCCCGCAGCCCCGCAGTCTGGCTCACCCTTGCCGCAGGTGGGGCCCGTGAAGGCCGTGGCGCTGCAGTCGCAGCTGAAGCGGTTCCAGCCCTCGCTGCACCTGCCGCCGTTCATGCAGGCCTGCGCCGCCTGCTCGCAGTGCGCCGCCGGGGCGGGGGCGTGGCACATGGGCCGGATGGCGCCTGCAACGAGGAAGCGAGTAAGAGATCATGTTACATAACGCCGCACAGTGGGCCAGGCCAGAACACCGGCGCAGGCGGCCAAAACTCTGCGCGGCCGAGAAGAAGCAGTGCGGTGACTCACCCGAGTCCTGGTGGCTGGCGAACTTGGTGAGGTCCACGGCGTTGCCGTCGATGACGAGGTCGCGGAGGCAGCCGACGAAGCCCTGGCGCAGCACACCGGCCTGTACAGTGGCGTGCCGCCAGCCCGCCGGACCGCGCACGGGGCCCAGCCCGCCCACCACCAGGCCGCCGCCCAGCTCCAGCCGCGTCGACTTGCCTGCGTGGACAAAGACGACGGTCACAATCGCATTCCACCCGACGCACTCGCCCGCACTGGTTATTGGTTGTCGCTGCGCAGCGCGCGGAATTTCATCTTCAAGTTTGGACACCTAACTAAGTTGGCGCTGCGACTCGCGCTGCGGTAGCGTGCTCTTCAGAGAGCGCCAATCCGCCCTCCCCCCCCACCCGCTGTTATCGCCTCTTCAAAGTGCGCCCGCCAGGCCGCCATGCACACGACCAAATTAACTTCTCCGCCTTGGAATCAGCGGCGGCCAATCACGCCACGGAACAAACTGAAAGCAGGTCAGGCGGGGCGGCGAGGGAGGCAAGGCTGGGCAAGGCAGCCGCCGATAACAAGCCCTTCGCCCGCTGCAAGCCCCCCCCCCCCTTTTCCCCCTCCCCTTCCGCGCGCTCCGTTCTTTTCGTCCCAGCAAACGTGGACGGGGGTCGTAAACGAGGCTGCACAGCGGGCTTCTAATAATAAACGTCCTCCTGGAAGCCTGGACGCCTGGAAGCGCGCGCCGGTTGTGTGCGCTGGAAAGTGCCCTGTCCACTTCACAGCGCCGCCAGGGCCGCCTTATCGCCGCCTTATCGGCAGCGCACGCTGCGAATAAGACCCGCCGTTTCTCGCCCTGCGAATAAGACTGAGCGTCCTGCTCGTCACGCGGACGGGACATTTCTCACCCTGCGAAGAAGGCGGCGTTTTTCACGTTGTGAATAAGACTTGACCTTTTTTTTTCACGCCCCTGCGGTAGTCAACAAACAATGTAATCCGCCTGTAAGTCGACAGAACGTGCGACACCAAATGCAAATCCTGGGTAGGCGCCTCGTTTCTCGCCCTGCGGATGAGACCGGTGAAGGTGAAACCGGTGAAACTCACCAGGGGTGCTGAACTCGGCCGAGGCCCCGTCGATGGTGATGCGGCCGTCGCGGCCGGCCCTGCTGACGGACACCTCGTGCCACGCGCCGTCGGCCAGGCGCTTCCGAGGGGCCTTCACCTTGAGCGGGCCCGAGCCCAGGTCCAGGTGCAGGAACAGGTGGCCCTCGACCAGCTCCAGCGCGAACAGGTCCGGCTGCAACAACGAAGGCGTCCCGGTTGGAGAGACAGAGCATGCGGCAAAACGGAAGGAGCGAAAAACGATCGGCGGCGCTGGGAGTCGAACCCGGCCCCGCGGCTTCGCTTTCCACCCCTTTACCCACTACGCTACGACAGCACTTCTTTTCGCAAGGCGCAGAAAGAGAAGCAGAGAGTGAGGGCGTGCTCGGCGGGCCGGCGCTCATAATCCCGCCGGGCCTTTAGTGGTCGTAACGGGGCCGACAACGGCAGGCGGGGCAAGCCGAGGCAAGCAAGCGAAGCAGGCGAAGCGGGGCGACGTCAAGAAGCGAGGCAGCAAGGCAGCGACTCAAGTAAAGGCAGAGCCATGTTCTCCTCCAGGCTGACGCGCAGCCATGACGTCATCGTCTCGTCGCCCTGTCTGCCTCTCTCTCGCCACCGCGGGGCGCCCATGAGTGCGACAGTGACAGAGCGACACTGTTCGAGGCCACCCTGCAGGACGCGTTTTATTTCGCACGGCTGCCTTGGGGGACCGCCCCACCGGGACGGGTCGGATCGGGCCGACGGGACAGCGTCATCACCGTCATCAAAGCCGTCTTACTGGACCCGGCCTGCGCTGCCTGCGCTCCACGGAGGCCTTTGGCTGCCTTCGGCGGGCCGCTTGGCATTGCTCGACGAACGCGCGCCGCCCCGCGGTCTGGCTTGAGCCGCCACGGAGTGCCACGGAGCTGCTGAAGACGGCAGTGCGGCATGGCGACGCCGAGGCCCGGGCGGCGTGGCGGCCCGTCTAGGCGAATTGGTCCCCACGCGGCCATCCAGCGCTATCTCCAGGTCCAAGGCCGAGACGCTACGTGGCGCGGCGGGGCGCGGCGGGGTCGGAGTTCGAGCCGGGGCGTCTTGATTACGCATGCGAACCACGCCGCCGCCACCGAGTCGCCCTGAGCACGCGGCACACGGAGAATGTTCCTTATTTCGGGCGCGCGCGGCAACCTGATTCCGAGAGTCGTTCTCGTCGCTCTGTCCCTCTCGCACCCATACGGGACGCCCCGCGAGTGCGAGGGAGACAGAGCGACGAAAGCGACTCTCGGAATCAGTCTGCGTGTTGCTGGTTCAACGGCCACCGGCTGCCGCCGTGCCGCCCCGGCGCCGTGCTTGCCGCCGCGGCCAGGTCAGGTCAGGGTCCTGAATCCACGCGATAACCGAGTATGTGAGTACCCCTCGTGCTATGGATCCAATTTCATTGTACGCCACCCCTTTGCTCATGTTGGCTGAATTGGCCTGGCGGGATATGTCCCCTCCCCCCCCCTCCTCGCGGCCCCTTCTACTGCGTGACGCCAGCCAGCCACCTCCACACGCCACGACCCCCACCCCCTCAACTCGACCCCGCCGCCTGCAAACCTGGCTCCGGTGTGACCACCTGGATCACGAACCAACAAGCTCTCACATTGAGTCAACTCTGCGTGGGATGGCTGGCTCCCCCTCCCTCGCTCCTCCCCTGCGTCCCACACCCTAAGTCCCTACCCCCACCCCAAGTCCCTACCCCCACCCCCTCCCCTCGCCACCTGGTTACAACACCGCGAGCCGTCATGAAGACAGCGGCGGATCGGCGGGGCTCGTTCCAAACACTGCTTTCTTCGCTCTGTCTCTCTCAGTCACCATGGCGCCCCGCAGGCGTGCGAGAGAGACAGAGTGACGCGAAGCGCTGTTCGGAACCGCTCGGCAGGGCTCGGCACTCGGGTGTCCTCTAGCCGCACGGGTCACGGGCCCGTCGGGGGCGGGAGTAAGTGGGGGGGGGGGCGGCAGAGGGTGTAGGGGTTAGCGAAGGGAAACTCGATGATCGGCGGCGGGCTTTTCTTGCAAAGCAAACTGCTCCAACAACTCTTCTTGGAAGCCGCAGTTCTCGTTGGAGGTTTCTGCGAATCGCCACGACGGCCGGGTGGTGGGGGTGGAGTGCTTACAGTGTGGCCAACAGTGTGGCACACACGGCAGGACCGGTTGACCCCGACCTCGAAGACCCTCCCCTTGCTGCCCACCGTCACTCTGTCGCCTCGTCACTCCGTCTCCTCGTCACTCCGCCCCCTCGTCACTCCGTCTCCTCGTCACTCCCACTGCGTCGCCTTGTCACTCTGCCGGCTGACCTTGAAGGTACACTACCTATCCCATTTCGGAGGCAGGCCGCAGAGCGAGGCGAGCCCAGGCAAGCCGAGCACGAGAAGAACACGTTTATACCATTACGCCATTCCGTGACGGACGGACAGACGGAGGGACGGACGGACGCTGCCAAGGTTCCACAACGGGTCCACATGGGTCCCACATGGGTCCACGCGCCCCACGCGCCTCGACGCAATTCCACCAATTTGGCTGAGCGATAGCCAAGCTCGTTGCCTCGAGAGGGGAAAACGTAAAGTGATTGGATGCGAGTCGGTCTTTTCAGTCGCCTCCCGATGCGAGGACTTTTCTTTTACTTTCATTTCAACTCAGTTACATGTTAATATTTTTTTTTTCAATAATTAAAATGTATATTTTTGGAAGCGATGAAAGCTGCAAATAAAGTAAGCATGCTGCGAATAAAGTTCAGCATACTGCAAATAAACTTCGGCAAGCGACAAATAAACTAATCACGCTGCAAATAAATTTTAGCATGCTGCAAATGAACTCAGTGTGAACCACAATGCACTGCTGCACTCACGTGGCTGGAGTTGGCGCCGTGGCTGTAGAGGACCAGCCCGTTGGGCTCGTTGGTGCGGAGTTTGAGCGACAGCGACCCCGACCGCGGCGCGTCCCAGGCCGGCAGCACCTGGCGACAAGCAGCAAACACGATGATGATGACGATGACGGTCTTGACGATGACAGTCATGACGATGACGGTCAAGACCACAATTATCGGTAATTTATTGGTGATAAGTGATCATTCCAATCATTCTCAATGCCAACAAAAGGTAAAAATAGCTTAATTTAATTATTAAATATGATTTACACCTGGCCAAATAATGGAAACTCCCTTCCAAAAGAGTTCCGTTGCGGGGCTCCTCAACACACTTCCTTGCGCATGTCTAATTCAACGAAGAAATAATAAAAGGAGTCCTTTGTTTTCGAATGAGCTGGGAGAAAAAACTTCGAGGCGAAAAGATTGAAGCGGGGAATGGAAAAAGGAGACTTTTTCCAGTGACGCGATACGGGCTGGCCTGCTGCTGAGACTGTGCGCTGCTTTCTGTTTCATCGCGGCGCTTATCAGACGAGAATACAAGAATGCGCGTCGACGCTTCAAAGAGCGGCGAGCCGAAAGCATCAAGGAGGGCGGGGCGAGGGGGCGGGGCTGTTACTTCTTGTACACCACGGGAAAGTCGGGAGCCGCGCGGGGCCAGCGTGGTGCCGCCAAAAACAACAAAGGGTAAAAAATTTAGAAAAAGGTGGAGGAATCCTGCTGGAGCGCGCGGGCGGTGGGCCTGCTGTGGGCGGCCGGGGTGCGGATTCGCTTTGAAGCGCGCTCCTCGCCTGGCGTTCTAATTATGCTGCGCTGTGAGCGTCACCCGTGTGGCTCTCTTTAAACGGACGGTTTTTGCCCCGAGCCCTGCAGTGTGACTCGGTGTGACTCCCTGTGATGTCGCCGCGCGGGCTGGGGTGGGGCGGCGGGGCCTTTCTGGGATCACAGATCACTGCAGGCGCGGCAAATTGGATCGCCACCTCGCCGACTGCCAACCGCGACCAAGGACGCCACGGGCCTCGCCGCCATCAAGCAGTCTGTCTCTCTCGCACCCCCACGGCACGCCGCGTGAGTGCGAGTGAGACAGAGCGCGGGCGCAGTGTGCTGGCTGGCCCTGGCCGGCGGCACGCGTGTCCGAGTGCTTCGTTTCACTTGGCCTGCCAGGGTTCGCCTTCGCCGCTTCGCCTACGCCGCTTCGCAAAGCCCTATTTCGCTCGTAAAGTTGTGCAGCGGCACCGCGCCGGGCCGCCGAGCCGCACGGGTTCGACTCAAAATCCCTCGCCAGCCGCGCCAGCGAGACAACGGCTTACCCCTTCCCTTCCCAGGGCTGGCGCTGGGCTGGCGCTGGGCTGGCGGCCGAATCCGAACCGCGCCATCGTCGCTCTGTCTCTCTCGCACCCCTACGGGGCGACGCACGAGTGCGAGAGAGAGCGACGACGGCGCGGTTCGGCCTGTAGGGCCCTCGCTAGGGCCACAGGCCCGGGGCCCAGACCTGCTTGGGGTTCAGCCGGAGCGTGGGAAGCGGCGCGTGTGCCCGCGTGATCGGGGGCGCCGTGGCGTGGGGCGTGGCGTGGGGCGTGGCGTTGCACTGTATCGTGTCACGAGGCGAAACTGGCAATTCGGTCTGCATGGCGTGTCCTCGCGACACTCGCTTCGAAAACGATCTACAGTGCTTGAAAACTGTGCTCCGCCCCTCAGTCGACGACGCCATGAGAGAACTACAAAGTGCAGACCGATTATTTTGTCCTTAGTCCAGTGCGGCGCAGCGCGGCAGCCAGCCCTCGGCGCACGCGGGGACTCGGTACTCGCGCCGCGGATTGGACGCCGAGTACAGTGAAAAAATAATGGGGGCACTCTCGGGTATACGGGTCAGCGCGCGCGGCGCGGCGGTTCGATGCGGTTTTGGCTTTACGAGTACCGCGACACCGAACAACAACGGTGCTTGCCTTCGTCGCTCTGTCTCTCTCGCACTCGCAGGGCGCCCCGTGAGTGCGAGAGAGACGATAGCGCTTGTACAGGGCCGCGTGAATAAACTCGCTGATGGCGTGGCGTCCTGGTCACAGCGCTGCCGCCGCGATGGGGAGGGGGAGGGGGAGGGGAGTACCAGGGCTGCCACATCACGCATAGAAACGCCATCATTCAACAGCAATCCCCCCTCCCCTCCCCCGCCCGCCCCTGCCGCACTTGTTCGACCCCCTCGGCGCCTCGACGCCGCGCGGCTGAGGCCCCCGTAATGACCCTCACCGTCGGTGGAATAAAATGTAAATTTGTTTCTCCTTCTCCGTGAAGCTCTCGTCACGGAGGGATAAAAAAACGGGCGATATCTGTCCGCCTCCGCCTGAGATCCGCCTTTTTAATCTATTCTCGGGGGTAACTTTTCTTCTTTTAAGTTTATACTGCTTATCGTAGCTCGTAAAATCGAGGCATCAACATTACGGCAATTATGGCTGGACTTGGGGGAGGAATTCAAGTCGGTGCACAGTGGGCCAGAAGACCGGTGAAGGCGGACAAAACTCTAGACGCGTTTTGAGCTCCCGAGTCGCTAAACAGGCCTCGAACCGAACGAGTGACCCCACCAATGGATTCCTCGTTCGGAGAGCAATCCATTGGTGGGGTCACACGTTCGGTTCGAGGCCCATTTAGCTACTCTGGAGCCCAAAACGCGTCTAGAGTTTAGGCCGCCTCCACCGGTCCTCTGGCCCACTGTGCGGTGCTGCATTCAACAAATGATTAATGTCTGAAGATATTTGAAGTGCTCACCAAGAAGGACTCGGGCGTGGTGAAGGACACGGGCTCGCCGGCGCCCACCTCCTGGCACTGGAAGTCCACGTGGCCGACGACGGTGATGAGCTTCTGGCCGGTGCGCGCCATCTCGATCAGGCTGAGGCGCATGGAGTCGGCCGAGAACTCCACCTGCGGCACGGGGACCACGTCGGTGAGCGCGGCTCAGACTTGCGCACAGACTAAACTGTGACGTCATGTGAATGTGAATTTGAATAAAAAAAGCAAGTTGACTTAATTTACCTTCCGGAGGCAGCCCACAAAGTTGTTCTCCTGCTTGGAGCCCGGCAGCGCGGCAGTGTTGTCGCTGCCGCCGACGAACACCTTGGAGGAGGCCAGGATGGTGACGGAGCCCGCGGTGTGCGAGCGGTCCGTGTAGACGCCATCCACGTTCACCGTCACGTGGCAGAAGGTCGTCACCGTGGAGATCTGGAACATGGCAGAGGTCGTTCGTTTCAGGGTCAAGAGAGGAGAAATCATCCCAGAGAAGGCGAAGGCAAGACAGCGTGGCTGGCTAAACCAATCCCAACCAATCCCTTGGACTGTGGACGGCGGAGGGATTACTGCACCGCGTGCCAGCGAGCACTGCCGTCGTCGCTGTCCCTCTCACTCCCTCACAGGACGCTCCATGAGTGCGAGAGAGACAGAGCGACGAGAGCGGTGCTCAGCCTGCAGCCCACGCAGCCCGGCTGCCGGCTGCCCTGCGCTGTCCTGCCCGCTGTCTCTCTGTCTCGTCGCCAAGTGCCACAAACGGAATTTTGTTCCACGTCAAAGTTGGCACTCTCGGCAGGCGGCGCGTCCCCCGCACCGCGCACAAGTTTCCTAATTATACAGTTTAACTGATTCTTGTCCTTCTCCCCCCCCCCCCCCGCGCGTGCGCCCCCTCCCCTCACCCCCAACGCGCGCGAGTGTGTGTGTGTGTGTGTGTGCGCGCGCGTGTTTTGCGGAGTATCACCCAACTGCCTTGTTGGATACGGAGACTTGGCCAAGAAAGACAATTTTCCTCGGCGGCGTGTTGACTCGTTTCTTCCACCGGGCTCCTCGCGGTTTATCACTTTATGACTTTTTCGGGCCACTCACGTTGCTCTCTCTGTCTGTCTGTCTGTCTGTCTGTCTGTCTGTCTGTCTCTCTCTCTCTCTCTGTCTCTCTCTCTTTTCCCCCTCGGTGCTGGCGTTATACGGCGCGGCTTCGGTCAGGTTCGTGCCTTTCCCAACAAGCCCTTGTCCTTGGGGTCAGCCCTGCCGTGGCCCTGCCGTGGCCCTGCCGTGGCCCTGCCGTCGGGGTCGCGGGCGGCGCGGGGTCACCGGCGAACCGTCCAACCCTTTGCCCGCCGACCTCGGGCCGCCCTTCGGTCCTTCGCCCTCCACTAGGCAGTGCTGCGAGGGCTGCCGCCGCACTGTAGGGCTGTGGGGCCGGCACTGCCAGGGCACTGCCAGGGCACTGCCAGGGCACTGCCTTACGCCGCTCGGCGCGCTCGGCGCCTTCCAGTCCCTCGGGACGCCGATTCCGACTGACTTACCGCTCCATCTTTGCTCAGCTCTCCCCGGCCAAGGCCTGCGGGCCCTGCCGCGGCGTGCCGGCTCCCCGGCCGCGAAAAAGCGAACACCTCGGGCTCGTGCGCGTGAGCGGGCCCGCGACGCCCCGCGACGCCCCGCGACGCCCCGCGACGCCCCGCGACGCCCCGCGACGCCCCGCGCGCCCGCGACACCTCCGCACGCCGCGGTCCGCCCCGATCGCCCCGCGACGCCCGCGACGTCCGCGACGCCCGCGACGCCGACGCGCGCCAAGCGACGCCCCGCGACGCCCCCGACGCCCCGCGACGCCCCGCGACGCCCCGCGACGCCCCGCGGCCCACCAATTCTCAGTAATGGCGTGTTCCAGACCACTTCATTCGCTCCATTTTCCGATTGCAGCCGTGAAAGTTTAATCAAGTTTAAATGAGCCGTCGTCGTCGAGGTTGCCATAAAGCGTGCATAAAGCGGTCCGCAAACAACGCAAATAAATAAATAAAAATATAAAAACAAAAATAACTCGATGATATTCGGGGGGTCGTTGGCTGCGCCTGCGACCGGGCTGGTTGAGTGCGGTCGGGGCGTGCCCCGGCCACGGCGGCCACGGCGGGCAGGGGTGGCTTATTCGCTTTCTGGCGGCGGCAGGCCTTTTGTTCCCGAGGGATGCCAAGTAGTGCGAGATGGCGAACGAAAGCGTAAAGTGAGAGGCTGGGCTATGTAAAATTCAGCGGCGCGCCCCTCGACTCGTGCAGACATGATGCCTGTCCAGCGAGCGTGGCGTGGCGTGGCGCGGCGTGGCGTGGCGTGGCGTGGCGCGGCCTCGAGGCGTGTACGTGCCCCACGGCGTTCCGCGCGTTCCCGGCCGCACGCGTGCCTCCGCCAAAGGTCCCTGCGGCCTGGCGGCCCGCGGCAAGGTGGCCCTTGCCGTAAAAGCGCCGAAAACACCGACAGCTCCGCCAACCTCGCCTCGCTCGGGTGGTGCTGGACCTGCTGGCCGGTGCACAGTGCACAGTGGGCCAGAAGGCCGGTGGAGACGGCCAAAACTCTAGACGCGTTTTGAGCTCCAGAGTCGCTTAGTGGGACTCGAACCGAACGTGTGGCCCCACCATTGGATCGCTCTCCGAACGAGGAATCCATTGGTGGAGTCACACGTTTGGTTCGACTTCTGTTTAGCGACTCTGGAGCTGAAAACGCGTCAAGAGCTTTGGCCGCCTCGACCGGTCTTCTAGCCCACTGTGACTTCAGCTAACTTCACTGACCCCCCACTGTGCGGTGGATGTGAGCGCGCGCCGAGGCCGAGCGCCCGAGCGCAGGGCGATAGGCAACACGTCGGCACTCCTGCGCCATGGTTGCCTACCCGCACGGCGCTCTTCGCCAGCAGACAGAACGCTCCCCCTTTCCCAACCATCGCCTATCGCCATCCCCGCGCCGGCTGGCCCGACGCTGAGACTGGGGAGTGCACTCGGCAGCACAGCCCCTCGAGGCCCCACCCCACCCCGCCCCACCCCACCCCGCCCCGCCCCGCCCCGCCCCGCCCCGCCCCGCCCCCCGCCCCGCCCCGCCCCGCCCCTCCGCTTCCAAGTTGGCGGAGCACGGCCGCAGCCAAGCCCTCGGTCTGGCCGTTCGTGTCATCACGCAGCCGGAACACTGGCACACTGTGGCACACCGGAACGCCACGCCGTCTCGGAGCCGCCCAGTTTATTTGCTCCGGGCCCACCTCGCCGCCCCGACCAGGCTGCGTCCGAGTGCGGCGCTCTCGTCGCTCTGTCTCTCTCGCGCTCATGCGAGCGTTCCGCAGCGTGCGAGAGAGACAGCGCGACGCGGCGCCGTTATCACGCTGCACCCTTCGGGTGTACGCGGCACTAAATTGAAGCAAAGCAGCTTGGGTAGCAAAGTTTCAACGGGGCCGATCGGGCGGCGCAGTCGGTGGGGCCCTTTGGGGGGCCCTTTGGGGGGCCCTTTGGGGGCCTTCGAGGAGACCTTCGAGGGGCCCTGTGGAGGGCGCCTCGTGGAGGGCGCCCTGCCGAGAGCGGGTGGCGGCTGGATAGCCGGTAGGTCCTCCTCTTTTCGGTTACTGTTCATCCCGAGGTGTCAGCAGACGGCCATCGTCGGGGCCGCCGCGCCTCGGCTAAGTTATGTACGAAGACATCATGGCGTCATCACCCCACCCCACCCCGCCCCGCCTTGCGCCGCGCGCTTGGCGAGTCTCGAAAAGAGATTCATAAAGTGATGCGGAACTTTGAATTATTGGCGTGGAGGGGGGCCGTCGTCGGAGAGGGGGCAGCGCGGCGTCGACGGCCGGCCGGCCGGGGGCGGGGGCGGATAGAGACGCTATGCAAATGACCGCGCCGTCCCCGCCGTTCCCGCCGCCCCCGTGGCGTGTGGGGCACGCAACGGAAAAGTAGCATCGTGGGCCTGACTGGCCGAGGGGCAGGTCGAGGGGCCTCCAAGTCGACGTCCGCGATTAGAAGCAAGGCAAGCTGCTAGCCGAAAGACAGCTATTTCAAGGAAAGAACGACGACGACGACGGCGAGGAAGTTGTAGTTTAACGCGTCGTCCTTGCCCCGGGCACACAGTGGAGGGAGAAAGAAGTGGTTGTACACGAACTGGGACTCCATGTCGTCGGGCAGCGCGCCCCGGCGGGTCCCGGGGATCAGCGCAGCGGGGGCGAAACCGGACCAGGATATTGCGCGCGAACATGAAGGTCGTGATTAGTTGGGTGGGGGTGGGGGCGGGGGCGGGGGCGGGGGCGGGCAAGGCCACAATGAGGTAGTGGCTTGGCAAGCTTGGCCGGTGGTCCAACCATCTTCAAGGCCGGGCCATCACCGAGTGGGTGTGCAGACACACACACACACACACACACACAAGAAATGCTTACCACTTGCACCCGACGATGCACCACCACGCTGTGCCACGCGTTGTCGTCGAAGCGCACCCGGTTGGGCTTGACGCTTAGCTCGACGCGACCGTTGCTCAGGTTCATGGACAGCACCACGCCGCCGTCCTTGAGGGCCAGGTTCAGGTAGTCGGACCCTTCGCCTGGAATTCAGAGAAAACTTGTGATTAGTCAACAGAAACAGACTGCCTGACTGTAACAACTCAAAAAGTGTAAAGTGTAAAAAAAGTACAGTGGAGAGAACCCATGTTTTTATTTGTGACTCTGAGTTTGTCGAAAGTTCAGTGGCTCCTAGCAGCTGTGCTTCAACTGGACACCGGCCAGTGTCAGACGGCTACCCTGTTTACAGTGCAGTGCGCGGTGCATGTAGGTCATCCCGTGAATAATGCCAATGTCCGAGAGTCCGTCGCTAGATGCCTCCCAAGCAGTGGTGGCAACCCTATAGCAGCGTAGCTCTGGTGGCAACCCTGGCCCTTGGTGGCAACGGTGCGGCCCGATCGTGATCCAGGTCGACGCCGTGCGGTCGGGATTCCCGCCGCCCCCAGCATCGCCAATGAGACCTCAGCCAGCCAGCAGCCGCGGCCAGCCCACATGCGGGCGAGCCGAGGCGAGCCCACCCCACGCCGCGCCGCCCGCACAGTACCGGTTGCCGGATATGGGGATACACTGCCGCCTGGCTGCCTGCCTGCCTGCCTGCCTGCCCGCCTGCCCCTCCCATTGTGCATCCAGAGCGGTATAATGGTCCCCCATGGCGTCGGCTCGTGTCGCGTGGGCGGCGTGCCGTGGCGTGCCGTGAGCGTTGGCACGCCGTGCCGCGCTCTCGGCCTCGCGGTGCCTCGCGGCTGCGGGGGTGTTTTCCGCGGGGGCGACAATCGGCCGATACGTCAGCGTCAGCCTCGGCCTCCTCGGCCAGCCCACGCGGTGCCTCGCAGGCAGTGAGACTGCTACTTTCCACCCAGTAGACTGATGCCGAGAGCCGTTTTCGTCGCTGTCTCTCTCGCACCTATACGGGACGCCCCACGAGTGCGAGAGAGAAAGCGCGACGAAAACGACTCTCGGAAGCAGCATCCCTAGCACAGCCCACGCAGCGGTACAGTACAGTACCCCTTCTTTCCGCTTGCCCTTTACGATTCCTTCTCGCTCTCCTTTCTGCTTCCTTTCGCTTTCCCAGAGCTCTCCTTCTAATTTTACTTCCGGTTTCTTTTCCCCTTTACCAACGCTTTAAATTGCCACATAGGTACTGGTTCTTCAAAATGTGCCGAAAACTTCGGATCCGAACAGACAGAAAATGATAGAAAACCGTGGGTGGGTAATGTAGAGGGTTTTGCTGCTCGGCGACTCACCTACGCACCATCCAAGTTATCACCTCCCCCCTTCCCCCCCCCGAAATAATAACGCGGCGCTAAGTGCGTGCGCTTCATTCGACCCCATTCCGCCCTGACAGGCCCGGCATGCCTGAGGGCAGGCCAGCCAGCCAGCCGCCCGGAGAGTGCCAAGTCAGCCAAGACAAGAGCCTTCCTTGGGCCTGAATCAATTGGGGCCAGGTGTGCACAAATTAGAAGGGGGATATTGGCGTGGGCAGGCGGCCTGGCCTCGGAAGGGGTGGGGGCAGGCAGGGGGAGGGGCAGGGGCTGGAGTGAGGTAGGACAGGCTTGGCCCGGGCTCGGCCAAAGTTGTAGTGGCGCTTCTATGGTATTGGTAATGGGGTGGCAGTATTGGGGCGCCACTTGGCTCAACACGCTTGATTGATTGATTGAATCAGTTGAGGGGCGTGGCGGGGCGGCTGGCTAGTGGATGGCCACGCCATTGTGTATGCCCGTCACAGCGTCCTCCTCACCGAGCTGGACGTGGTGCTGCAGGGGTGGCATCACATCGCCACTGGAACGGAATGCCTGTCTGTCTGCCTGCCTGTCTGTCTGTCTGCCTGTCTGCCTGCCTGCCTGTCTGACTGCCTGCCTGTCTGTCTGTCTGTCTGTCTGTCTGTCTGTCTGCCTGCCTGCCTGTCTGACTGCCTGCCTGTCTGCCTGCCTGCCTGCCTGTCTGACTGCCTGCCTGTCTGTCTGTCTGCCTGTCTGCCTGCCTGGCTGTCTGACTGAATGCCCGTCTGTCTGTCTGTCTGTCTGCCTGCCTGTCTGACTGCCTGCCTGTCTGTCTGTCTGTCTGCCTGCCTGCCTGTCTGACTGCCTGCCTGTCTGCCTGTCCGTCTGACCGGCCTGGGCGTGTCCGTGCGTCCGGCAGTCCGGTCCAAATTGGAAACCGGGACTAGTGCTGTCCTGATTCCTGCCGATTCGCGCACCGCAACACGCTCGCCCGCCCATAGTCCTCTCTCTCTCCCTCTCCTTGCCCTTTAGTCCGGCCCCACTTGTTCCCGCCCGCGCCAGCAGGCCCCAGAGCTTCGTCGCTCTGTCTCTCTCGCACTCGTGGGGAGTGCCGTTGCGGTGCGAGAGAGACGCAGCGACAGGCTCGACCGGGGCAGTGGGACAGTGTGTGATTACGGCCTCGAGTAATTGGCTGGCCTGTTGCCCCGGGCGACACGCCGCATCGGACGCACACTGCTAGCTGCGAACTTGACAAAAAACGAATTGGAAATTAATTGCCTGTTAACGGCGGGGGTCACGAGTATTTTGCACGGTATTTTCTTTGTAGGCTCAAAATACTTTGTGCTAACAAACTGCTTTGCTTTGTAAGGCCTGAAATAGTTTGTAAGGTTTACTCAGTGCGACATTGTTTTGACTCGCGTTCACTACACTGGATAGTTTGTTCCATCTACAGCAGGCAAGCCCGAGGGCAAGTCAGCCAACTTACCGGTGTAGAAGAGCAGGCCGCCGGGGTTCCTGGTCTTGAAGCTGAGGCTGACGGTGTCCTGCGTGGAGACGATGGGCTCGCCCCCGGTGCGGCTCAGGTCGTAGGACAGGTACTCCGTGCCCCGGAAGGTGGCCTCGGGCGGGGCTCTGTCTGCAACGGAACGAACAGGCACGTCAGGGAAGCAGAAGACGCCGGGAGTGCGGGAGGGCTCCAAGGAGGGCTCGAGGAGGGCTCCTTATCCCACAGTGGGCCAGAAGGCCGGTGGAGGCGGCCAAAATCCCAGACGCGTTTGGAGCTCCAGAGTCGTTAAATGGGACTCGAATCCAAGGTGTGACCCCACCATAATGGATTGCTCTCCGAACGAGGAATCCATTGGTGGGGTCACACGTTTGGTTCCAGTCCTGTTTAGCGACTCTGGAGCTCAAAACGCGTCTAGAGTTTTGGCCCCTCCACCGGTCTTCTGGCCCACTGTGGATCCGAGCAGGAGAGGTCTCGGTGCGCCGCAAGACGCTTGCCCCAGGCAGCCCGAGGCAGCGGACTCCCGGGCCGAGCGAAACGTACAGAAATGAAAAAAGGAAAAGTTGAGGATTTTGTGGAGGATCTGGCAAGTGTAAGCACACGCAGCCAGTCCTGTCCGTCTTCCTGTCCAACTCGCGAAACAAAGCTGCAATGACCTGCCTCCGCCTCTAATCCCCTGGAATGGAAACTCGCAAGTTGAGAAAGTGTTATCGACTCTTCCTTTCTCCGGTTCTTCTCCAGCGCCTCGCTAGCGCTGGAACTTCTCGCCTCGCCCGGCCACGATTGCAACAACTTTCCCTCGGAGAAAACCGCCAGCAGCAGGAACACTTTTGTATTCGGCCACTCAGTGACTCATTGCCTCCGGGGGGATTGATTCAGCGAGTCTAGATTGAGGAAGAGCTTGGGAACGGGGAGGGGCAGGGGAAGAGGGAGGTCCTCTAGTGAAAATATGCCAGCATTGTCGGCTGAGCGGCGACGGCCCCGTACAATAATTTCCACCTTTTCATTCCCAGCTCAGACCCACTCTCTGAGTTTTTCCCTGGGTCCAAGTTGTGACATGCATGTCCTTGAGACGCAATATGCCCTTTTAAGAAAATCAAAACGAAAATCCGGCGCCGTCTTTGCATTAAGTTAGCCAATTTAAAATTTCAAATGAGCACCGCCATCATCATATTTGTTGGAAGTGAAGCATTTCTGCCTTTCCGCCTCTCCAGGTGGGAGTGGGGGAGGGGGGGGGCGGTGTGGGGAGGGTCCAATGTAGGTCGCCGTGCCACCATGGTGCCACGGGCAACGGGCACAGGGGGAATTAGTATAGGAATTCAATGCGTCTCTTTGTCCCCTGGGACCCTTCCCCCTCCCTTCCCCTCCCCTCCAGCCCCCTTCCCTTCGCCACCTGCACTGCCCGTGTCCATGCCTGCCCCGGAGTGGGCCGCGGTGACCTTGAGTCGGTTGCCGGACTGCAGACTGATTCAGGGAGTCGTTCTCGTCGCTCTGCCTCTCTCGCACTCATGGGGCGTCCCTACAAACGCGAGAGAGACAGAGCGCCGAAAACGACTCTCGGAATCAGTCTACTGAGGCCGCGCTCCCCAAAGCTTTCTCCGGTTTTGCCTCTCCGCGAATTGCTGAGAGGCTTTCTCCAGCGTTTTCTCCAGGGCCGTGCCTGGGGGGCTGAAGGGCAGCGTGCGTCGGGGAGAAGCGAGGCAGAGCGAAGCAGAGAAGCGCCGGCCTCGGTCACGAATCGTTGGTAGACTGGCCTCCCGCTACCCTCCCACCTTCGCGGACAGACCGACTGGCTGGCTGACCTGGCCTGGCCGTTTGGACGAGGAGTGCAGGAGGAACAAGTTGGATTCGTGGAGTATGGATCCGTGGCGGGGCGTGGCGGGGCGTGCTGACAGTTGTACGGTTTGGCGGGGCGGGGCGCGGTGGGGCCGCCCCCAGTCGATTGTGTGTTTGGTTCCTGTTGCCGAGCGTTCAGTGTTTTCCAGCGCGGCCCCAGCGAGGGGCACGAGAGCGGCCCCCTTATTTCAAGTTGGCCCCATCGGGACTCTTCCAGCTGCTAGTGCCCCAGCTAAACGCCTCACGTCTAGCTCGGGCTGACAAAAATGCAGAAATTCATCGTAGTTGGCGATAAAACATTAAAACCTAACCATGACGATGAACAACTGTTGGACTGGCGATAGAAAAATGTCCGTGTGCTATTAAAATTAAGTCCGGAACTCGCCGCACTGAGTCAAGCCGCGGACCCGTCCGGTCTTGGCTTTGCTGGCCCCGCAACCCGATAAATATCGCTTAATCGAACGTTAAAGTAAGCAACGGCCGGCAATAACATTAAACAAGACCGACAGTCGAAAATCCGGTTTCGCCAAGATTTAGGAGAGGGGCGGTCCCGTCCCCGGGGGAGCATGGCGGCGGAGGGGAGCCCCTCGGGGGGGGGGCTACTGGACCACGACCAAGAAGGGCGGGGAGACCACGCAGCGCGCTAACAAACGCCGGCAGTGGCGCTGCGACGATGCTCTGTCTCTCTCGCACCCCTACGGGACGCGGCCCACGAGCGCGCGAGAGAGACAGAGCGACGACAGCGCCGCATGTTCGGAGTCAGTCCGCCGAATGATATTCTGCACGACCTCGATGCATGAGGCTCTGTGCCCGTTCAGATGCTCTCGGTGGAAGTATCAGGCGCGTCTGCGTGGGATTTCGTTTTGTTTTTCCTTGTTGTTGTGGTTTGTTGTTGTTCGCGCGCAGGAAACTCCGACCAGGCCTTACGGGGAAGAATGCAGCCCTTCCGGTAAGTCAACACGCACCCAGGAGTATCTGGAGGGCTTTACTGAAAGGAAAAAAAAGGGGTGCGCTGTGCGCGGAAAGCGCGGAGGCAAGCAAGGGGGGCTGACTCCTATAATACTTCGTACACAGACCTATAATACTTGTATAATACCTATAATACTATAATCCATAATACCAAAAAATGCCGCACATTTAGTGCAGTTTCGGGTTCAAAATGAGAAAGTTTTGTAAAATTGTGGTGAACAGGCGTTCAGCGATTTTTAGACGGATCGTTAGAGTAAGGAAATGGCGCTAAGGCTGATGACAAGGTGCTGAGGCTCTTAAAGATGCGCGGTAGTATTTTGAGGCTCAGGAGCGCAAGCCGGAATCCTTGTTTTCAACTAACTTGCGTATTTCGGAAACCTTTGGTACACGGAAAACCACTTAAAACGACACAATTATCTAAATAAAATGTTCGGAATAATACCTATAATACTCTATAATACCTATAATATATAATACTTCGTACACGGTTCGGGAGAGTCAGCCCCCCTTGGAGGCAAGTCAAAAGCCAAAGTTGAAAGGCTTCCGATCCCTCCGCTTTTTCGCTTCCTCTCTCCTCCGGCCGGAGCGACGATTCGCTTTCGCAAAAAAAAAAAAAAAAAGATCGGGGGTGAACAAAAAAATATCAAAGGTGAAAAGGAAGCATTATCACATTATTACGCACCGACGGCGAGGCGGGCAAGGGGCGGCGAGTGTGTTGGCAGAAAGAACTGACTGGTCGGGGAGGGGGGGGGGCGAACAAACATCGGAAGGGGGATAATGATGTTTGTTTTGTGCTGGGGGGGGAAGGGGGGCATGACTCGACTCGGCCACTTCCGCCGCCTCCCCTCGACCTGAAGATGGGGCGCCCGGTACGGTGCGGCCCGCTGCCCCGGCGCTGCCCCGGCGCTGCCCCGGCGCTGCCCCAGGAGGGGCTCCGGGGGCTCCGCGGAAGAAACACACGGGGGTCTCCATGGCAACGGAGCACGGGACGGGGCGAGGCGAGGCAGGGTGGCACTCCCTGACCCCGACTAATCGTCTGCAAAATGTACGCACGGCTTTGCTTTTTCCGTCTCCTCTCCTTCATGCCACGGTAAGGCCTGCGGAACGCAGGCCCTTCGGCCCTTGACCATTCCCTTTGGCCCCCCAGGCAGGCAGCCAGGCCGGCCGGGATGAGCGCACAAAGGGTCGAGGCACTTTGCCCTTAAGCTGACGCGGACGCGAGTGTGTGAGAGTGGATTAAGATTGAATGCGTGTGTGTGTATGTGCGCGCGCGTGCGTGCGTGTGTGCGTGCGTGAGTTGAATCGATCAGATTACCCCGACAAAGCGGCATGAAAGAGCAGAAGAACCGAGAAGTTGACAGACTTCCCCTTCTTGTCTGTCCCTACTGGAAGGTTGGTCGGGTTGAAAGCGCACGGAAAGCTAGTCCAGCTGCTCCAATAGCGGGCGGCGGTGTGCTGCCCACGCCTGGCCGTCGACATGCCCGTCAACTCGGCCGTCAACTTGGCCGACCGTCTGTCCGCGCTGCACGCCACACGCTGCGGCCGGCTGGCCCCACTGGCCCCGCTGGCCCGGTCTGCCGAGCGGTTCCGGACATTCGTGTCGTCGCTCTGTCTCTCTCGCACCCGTGCGCAAAGTGCCACCATGGTGCCGCGAGTGTGAGAGAGACAGGGTGACGAAATGACTTCTCTTCGGAATCAGTCCGCCGGCTGCACAACACCAAACTTTGGATCCCGGGGCGGCCCGACCCCCCCAGCCTTTCCCCCAGCCCGACCGGTTGACGCGCCTGTATGTCTCGGAAAGTTTTAAACCAACTCGCAGCGCCAACTTGGCCGCACGTAGATTGTCTGGGGGTGCGGCGGGGCGGGGCGGGGCTGGCGGCGGCCGCGCACCGACCCGCTGCACTGCTGCGGTGCCGCGTGCAGCGTCCGGGAGCTGCGAGTCGAGGCTCTTGGGCTGCATTCATGCTCTTGAGCTGCATTATTGCTCTTGGGCTGCAATAATGCTTTGGAGCTGTATTAATGCTCTTGGGCTGTTTCAATGCTCTTGGGCTGCATGAATGCTCTGGCTGTGTTAATGCTCTTTCGCTTCACTAATGCTCTTGGGCTGTGTTAATGCTCTTGGGGTGTATTGACGCTCTTGGGCTGCATGATGCCCTTGGGCTGTATTCATGCTCTCGGGCTAGGGCTGCATTAATGCTCTTGGGCTAATGCTCTCGGGTAGAAGACCCCCCCCCCCCCCTTCCTCCCCGGTAGAAGAAATACTCTTGGGCTGGAATCGCAGGTCCACGAGTCCAAACAGCCCACCCGCCCCAGCAGCCCAGGCAATT